TGCCTTGGAGCTATGTCCGGACTTGCAGCGGTGCAAGTCCGACGGCGTTCTGGTGGGTGATCCCCGGGATTTGAAACACACAGCCAAAGTATTCCCCTCAGCTTCCGGCCATGGTTTGCAATTGTTCAAGAACAGAGAAGTTCATGGACACTCCCTCAACCAGCTTGCTTGGTTGGAAATCCTAGACAGAGGCTCCCTGGACGCTGTTTGACCTTATGGCACTTACGGTACTTCCAGGCTCAGCATCCGTTTGAGCCATCTTCCAATCATCACGAGCACCAGTATAGCGACACCCGTCCCTTGCCAAGGTAATTTGGGTATGGCAAAGCACGTGAACCGCAGGCAAACTTTTGCAGATGGCTGGCTCTTTTTGGTGCCTTTGATGACAATGGCTAATGGCAGTTGGCTTGCCATTCCACGCAGGACTTGAGTCTTTGTTCTTTGTGTGTACTGGGCGAGTCTGTGTCTTTGAAGAATTCCTGGTTCACTTGATTCACTTGAGTTTAAGATTGGTTTCGATTGTAAACTCCACTACACTGCAACTCTTCTGGTTTTTCATTGACCCCGACTCACATGGATGTTATCCATGAGGGATGCACTTCACAGACAAACGCCATAGACTATGGGACTATGGGTATGTCTGGGCCCCAGAAGAATGGCCAGCGCAGGTGTTCTTTTCCAGAAATCCCTGCATGCTTGCATTTTTTTGAGTGTTTTTTTTTCCTGGACTTCTTTGCTTGAAACCACCCTTATGCGTCATGCCATAGTCTAGTTGATCATTGTTTTATCTCGTTTTGATACCAGTGATGTGGAAAGGCAGCACTTTTCAGCCAGCTTCTTGAGGTCTCCCATGGGCTTCCCCAGGTACCACTGTATCTATGAGCCTCCGTTTTGACCAAGAAACCCAAGTATTATGCGCTGCCGAATTCTCCTTTCCACGGCTCCAAGAAAAGCCGGCCAAGCCATACACGACCAGGAAACTCCAATTTGAGGAGTTTCCAAATTCGAGCGACCTCTTGATGAGATTTCCTTTTTCGCAACGCGCTTTTGGCGCGAGGCAAAACACGCCCCAGGCAACTTTGACGGAGTAGACAAAGCAAAAGGATGCAAAAGGCATTTCAGCAAAGTGGCCGTCAGACAGATCGTTGTTTCTGTTGCCTCAAGTATTCCCAAATGCAGCAGATTCTTGTTGGGTCATGAGCGGCCATGAGGCTCAGAATTTGAAGATGTCTGAAGGTCACTGTCTTCGTTTGCGAAGATAGTTCGCGCCAACATTTGCAGAGAGGTCCGCCAACAGTCGGAGGTGCGCCGTGTCGCAGGAGAGACACCAGGACTGTTAGAGATGAGGGTGGCTTGATTGATGTGCATCGTAAGTCGAACTCTTCGTCTTCAAGTGGAACGGGACATAAGTTGGGACATATGTGGGGTTGTCGACAGAGGGCCAATGGATAGTTCATGGAATTTTCGAGGGCCCTTGTATTAAAGTCCAGGCAATTATGCATGTTCAGTCTAATTCGGGTGGGCAGGCAGAACTCACATGCGGCGGATTTTCGGAAGGTCAAGAGCAAACAACAGAGCCCGCCGTGAGAGTTCAAGACAATACGACAGCTGCACTTATAGTGTGTTTGTTGTGTTTACATCTGAAACAAAAGCCGAATGATTAGTCCCTTCCACCTATTTAAAAACACGCCCCCCTATATTAAGAAACCTCGGGTGCATTTTTTTAAAATAGGGGGTCCCTGAAATCGGGTTGTCCAAAATAGGGTCACTTGGGAAGAGCTTCAAAACCAACAAGTCACCCAGGAACATTTTGTACAAAAACCTCTATTAAACTCGTATCAAAAATTCAAAAAACCTCCGGATCAAAGGGTCTTCCTTTTCCCCCACAAACACCTTTATTAGAGTACGGATTCTTCATTAGACCAACGACTAAATCTTTCGAAAGGTGATGTCGCTGTGCCATGCGGTTTTGCGTGGCCATTGGGGGACGGAAAACCTGCTGGTGTAAACGCGGCGTGTCATGGTGGATAGACAGGGCGGACAGAGGTGGGCAGTTACGGTTGTTTTTGGAACCTATTTAAAACTCACCAAAAATCGGCCATGTTGGTAGGTTAGTAGCGGCCTTAAAGGGCGTTAACTTAAGAACGCATATAAGCATAATAAGCCATATGTAGGGGGCTCCGACATGACTTTTGTTTTTCATTGGGGTCCGTTTTAAATAGGTACTCGGGATTATGTACTGCAAGTTCATTTGGTGGAAAAAAGCCTCGGAAGCTGCTCAGAGTGGATCTCCAGCTATTCTTTGCTGCCTTGTCGAGATTCTTTGTTCTCCGGGGTAGCAGGGACCGTGGTTCCAGTTCGAACAGCGAGCAAAAACTTGTTCGCGCAGGTCGTTTCCTGGAGTGCATCTCTGGGAATGGCCGTGATGGCCCACTGTGAAGGGAAAGAGAGGTCGATACTCCGACGGTGCTACAATGGCTGTGCCTTCGGTTTTGGTCTACTGAGTCATACTGCGTGGGGTCCGGTTGGTAGTTTCAAGAATCCCTTCATCCGGGATGACAAATACCAACAACTCATAGTTGACAGATTGTCTCACCGATGGCTTGCCGCCCAGCTTTTCGGGAACCACTTTTTCTGAGCCCAGAATGATTCTATGAAATCGGGGGAACCGCAACAGACCCAACAAGCAAGAACAAGACTCTTTTTCCGGTGGACACAAAGCCCCCATCGAGTCTCTGGCTCCTAAGTGCTTGCCTTGAGTCGAGCGTGGGCGTCCAGTGCATTTTCACACCGGCCCTACTCTAACGGCCAAGCGAGACCAAGAGAACGTCATGCGTGGTGCATTGTGTTCTATGGCCTGTTTCGGAGAGTGACCAGTAACCACTGTTGCAAACACACCTGAGAAAATCCGAGTTCATTTTCTTAGTAAGGGGATCCGCGATCATGTTATCACCAGCAACCCAACGTAGGGAACCCCCTGATCTATAGAGATCATCCTTGAGTATGGCTATGTCTATAGCCGTTCTCTTGTCCTCTACTTGAGAGTAGGTACACACCAGCTTGTTGATGCAGTCGTATAGCGACCGAGAGTCAACTACGGAGACATAGGGGATGGATGCCAAATGCCGCTCCCAGTCCTTGGTCTCCATGGTCGTGCCCATCAGTTCGAGGAGGAGGTAGCGGTGCCAGTGTATATGGCCAATGCCATGTACCAGCGACTGGCATTCTGCGCTCAGGGTGTTGACGGTCTTCCTTTTGAGCTTTGTTGATTTCCATGAGGTCACGGAAACCATGTGAGGTCGATCTTCGGTTTCCATTCTCTTGTCATAAAAGATCATCACATAGCCTCCTTGGCTGCTGCAATTGAGGAGCTTGAGAAAGGTGTCATTGATCTTTCCATGTTCCAACTCGTGTCCAGGAAGCTGTTTTGTGAAGATGGTCTTGCCGGTCCAAGGTGAGTCCGTCCAAGTTCGGACACTATTTCCTTTTGTCCATTCATCTTCTAGGGCTTCTTCGTTTGTAGTCATCGTTCTGCGACCTGGTTGTAGATCGTGAAGATCTGGTCCTGGGTCGGCTCCTGGATGGAATAGGACTCTTCTGGGAGTGACATGATGTCGAATCCAGTGTGAGGATTTCTCTTCCCAGTAGTCTTGTGAGCTAACTTCCAACTGATCCTGGCTTTTGGCGTTGGACCATGATGCGTCCGTTGCAACTCCGATTCGCAGGTTCTCTGGTTGGATCGGCATGATCTTGATGCCGCTTGAGGGGTGTCTTCGAGCCTCCTGAGTGATGGAGTTTGCCTCGATGATGTCCTTGATACGAGGCTTGGGAAAGACCTGCTGAAGCAGAGCTACTCTTCCGGCCAAGTCGGGCCTGCTTTCCTTGGCAAGCCAGGCAAGGGCGCCGATGCTGGCTCGTAGTTGGGTGATCTCCTTGTCGTCGCAAAAGGTGTATCTCTTTTTCTTTCGTTGTTTTTCCAGGTTGATCTCGAAAAGCTTCTCCTGGATGTAGTTCTCCTGGTTCACGATGATGCTCGAGTCCTCTTGCTGAGTGAACATTTTTCCAGTGAACTTTCCTGATCCATACTGGAATTTTCCAAGCTTATATTTCACTTTGATCTGGTCCATAGCTTTTTGATGTTCGTCGTCACCTCCATGTAGAAGGTCATCCGTAGCGACTGCAATGACGCCGCTGAGGATCGGTTTACCAGTGTTTGGACAGTTCCGATGCTTGTAATAGATGCATGGATCTGCTAACGACTGCTGGTAGTGCAGTTGGCTAGTCAGGAACTTCTTGAGATGATTGTACCATGCCAGTGGGCCGTCAGTAGCAAACCTTCTCGAGTTTGAGGAGTTGGCACGGTGCGACACCAGGGATACCTTCACGAGGTGGAGTTGCATAAAGTAATCGCTCAATTGCGTCTCCACTGTGGAATGCCTGGGTGAAGTCCAAGAAGCCGAGCTTCCAACGATGGCTTGCAACCAGTTGGGCGACCATGAGAGTCCCTTCTCTGGTAACCTGAGGCGTTGTTGCCTCGAGGTCCTCGGAGCCTTCTTCACTGAATCCTTTCATCACGTGTCGGGCCTTAGCCTTGCATGGCTCTTCAGAATCCCAGTCGAGAAGGATCCCTTCCTGTTTGGCTGTTTCGACTTCATGAGGTTCCAGTGGTTTTGGAGTGAGGACCAATCGGCTTTCCATGATTCGATGTGGCATAGTTTGTCGAACCTTTGCTGACTCTTCTGGGGAGACAATGGAGTATGCCCCGATGTTGATGTTGTTGTTGAATTCCTTGCTGATTGCCGTCTTGAAGCATCTTTGATTCTTGACGCTGAGTTCCTGGAGGCGGATTTCCTTTTTCTGTCTTGTTTTCATCAGGCTGTCCACTTTGTTCAGGTAGATCTCCAGGTATTCATGCCTCAGCCGTTTCAAAGGCGGTTGGTCGTGTGGTTCTCCTTCATCAAATTCTCTTTTGTTGTTCTCGTCTATGGTGGGGTGTTCTGCTAGTTGTTCTCCTGGTCCTTCTTCAGCAGGAAGTTCGTCGTGATCTTGTTCTCGCAGATCTTCTGCTGCAGGAGGTTGAGGAAGGTTTTCCTGTGGTGCCTTTGTTCGATACCTCTTTGCTGGAGGTGGATAACCAAGAGGCTCTTGAAGTCCGTCTAGTCCTGGAGCCGTTGGAGGTGCAATCGGTTCATCTTCGGGAGGTTCGGATGGCTCATAGTCCATATCTTCTAGATCTCCATCGGCCAGTTCAGGAGGTAGAGGTTGGTCAGAGAGGTCAAGGAAGCCTCGAACAGGTTCCGTATGGAGGTCCTTTTTGATACTGACAATGTCGTCAAGCCAACCGGAGAGAGCCATGTTCTCTTCGGATGATGCCCTCCGAATGCGTTCCGGACTTGCCTTGACTAGATTTGACTGGTACGCTAACCAGATAGTGCTGGGCTGGTCGATCATGATGATGCGAGCTGGTCCCTGCCAGTATCCAGGTTTGAACTTGAGCTTTTTGTCCGCTCCCATTCGATAGAAGTAGACGAGCTCGCCGATGTCGTAATCGAGGATCGGTCTTGGTCCTGATGAAATAGCTCTCCGCAGGGCGTTGTCGGCGTCGGCTTCGATGAAAGCCTGAGCTGCAGCCTTCCGAAGCTTCATGGATCTTTCGACGCTAAGGTCGCCGACTTTCAATGCTGGAGCATCTTCGCGAGTCCGATGTCCATCATCTCCATTTAGTAGTCCTCCTGGTAGGAATGGGTTGAATCCCAGAACACGTTGACATGGACTGAATCCTCCCACGTTCATCATACGGTTCTTTGTCATGGTGGTGAGGTCTACCATTTCTTCCCATTCCTGCATGTTCCCGCAGCTGTAGGTGTCCATGGTTTTCTGGAGAATGTATTTGAAAGTTTTCCCATGTCTTTCAGTGATGCCTCTTTGATGTGGTGCTTCCACAGCCGCTGGATCTATATAGGTTCCATCTTGTTCAACTTGTTCTGCGAAGGTACCGCGGAATTCACGTCCCAGATCCAGAGCCATTCTTTTTGGAGGTCCGAACAATCTCAGCCAGTGTCTGTAGGCTTCTCGAACTTGTCCTGGTTTCTTGTTGGGCAAGGGGATCATGAGTTGAAATTTGCTTGACCAATCTATCACGTTGAGTGCTGGTCTAGAGCGATTGCCCAAAGTTGGCAAGAAGACCACATCTACCCCAACACATTCGTTGAAGCTGAGTTCCTTGGGCGGCGCACTCCGTCGTGCGGGTCGAACTTGGGCATGTCGTTGACAGACACTACATTTCAGTCGTTTTGCTGCCTCAATGACCTCTGGCTTTGCCTTGGCGTACCTAAGTATACGGGCAAATCGGTCCGGACTTGGATGTCCCATTCCGACATGTGCTCGATGTAAAAGTCGGTCCATGGTGAAGCGACGTTCCAGAGGTAGTGGTGCATTTGGTTGTTCATCGCCTTCCGGTTCATGGTCTCCTTCATCATCCTCACCTCGTGGTTCTTCAGCATGTAGTTCCCATGGGGGGCCAGGTAGAACGCTTTCGACTTGATCTGATCGTCCTGGATCGGCTTCGCTTAGGTGAAGTTCAGGTCCAGGGACTTGTGGAGCATATAGCGTAGTTCCCTGATCTCCGTCTGGTCGATGTCCTGGGTGTAGTTCATGGTCAGCCAGTAGTTCCACTGTCAGTAGTGAGTTCAGGCGATCATTCTCCAGGAACATTTGTTCAGAGGTGATGATACCTACCTCAGCTCCAATCGAGCGTGAGTAGGCCGCGAGGATGGCTTCCCGAAGACCTTCCGGATAAATCTGTGCTTTCTTGGACTTGTTGCAACCAATGATGACTTCATGTTGATGGTTGCCAGGGCATAGAATGTTCAGGGCCTTGGCGATCTCGGGGCTGTTGGTGGCGAAACCAGTCCGTTTTCTTTGGGGTTGGCCAGATTCTCCACGGAGTCCGTATTGGCATTGGTCGGCCTTCGTGTACACTACGTTCGGTTTGGAAAGGAGCTGCTCCATGGCACGGTGTTTCCAGGAGGAGGCAGCGTGAAGATGTTCCAAAAGGAACTTGATGCCCAAGTGATCGCATAATTCGCACAACTGCAGAGCAAACAACAAGAGCTGTTCTCCTTCCGACTTCCTCTTCAAATACTTTTGAAGAAGAGCAGGAACTCGTTCTCGTTTGTTTTTAGACAAGTTTTGCAACTGTGAGTACATTTCACATGGTGGTGCAATGCAAACCAGTCCAGGCCTAACATCTTTCACATACTGCACGACTTCGTTTCGTTTGTTTGCTTTCAACAAATCACAATCCAACTTCAAGTCAAAAGCACGTCCAGAATTGAGGTTGAAGCGATGTGCAATTTCTCCAAAACAACCGGGATTATAGATCTCAGCCACAGTTCTAAGTTGTTTACGTGAAAGTCCCATGATTTCAGCAATCTGATGTGTCCTTTTTGATCCGTTAGGGTGCAGAGTAAACTCCTTGCAAAGTTCATCATTAAAGCTGCAAATCCAGTCTCGCAGTTTCGCATCTCCATCCTGCGTTTCTGCGAGGATGTACTGGATCTGTTTCCAAAAAGCCACAGCCTTCTTTAAGGCCGCCCGGAGCTTTCTTTCAAGCTTTGGGGTCATTGGCTTGAAGGGCCCTTCATTCGGCGCCAGCGCAGGAAGTCCATGAAGTCCTGGTAGTCCTCCGGTTCGGTCATTCCTTCCTGAGGTGATGTAGGCGTTGGAGTTGACGGACGAGGTGGTGCCTCTGAAGGGCTGCTGGGAGAAGCCGTCTCCGTGACCACAGTCTTCTTTTCTTGCCGGATCACCTTGTTGCAGTAGCGGCAGGTCACCTTGGTCAGGAAGGCGTTGGATCCCTTCCGATGAGTTGATGAGTGTGGACAAATGTCCTGAACCATTCCCTCCAGCACCTCTGCATAGGACTTGGGCTTCTCGCCTGGTTGTTGGCGGTATTTCCAGCTGGTCACATCTTTCAATGGCTGGCATGGGACCCATTGTTTGAACTCGCACTGTTGTCCCGGGTACTTCGGGCACCGGAAGTAGAGCTCCTCCTCGTGGTTGGTCTCTGTACTCAGGTGAATCTTCACCTGTAGGCCGCATCGGCAGCGAGGTCGGGGTCCGGTCAGTATCTCGATGCATGGTAGGCTGTCGATCTGGTCGCAGCGCTGAGTTCTCACCAAGGTCGCACTCAGAACCTTCTTCTGTGATCCGTCCGAGTGTTGTTCCGGATCGCTGATCATGACGAAATTGTCCGACAACTCGACACGACGTTTCATCTCGTTCTTGGCCATCTTGGTCACGTGGTGGAGGTCCTCGTCGGGCATGCTCTCGATCAGGCGTGTCAGAACTCGGCGTTGGGACTGTGCTCCCATGATGGTCTCCAAGAGATGTTCGAACAGGTACTGCAGTGGCATGAGCACAACCAGTAGCCGACGAGTCAATTGGGTCCAGGCTTTCACAGCCTTGTCCTCCGGATTCAAGGTCTCCGGTGGAGCAGGTAGGCTGCGCTTCTGGCCGGTGTTCTGCATGGCAGGCGAAAGAAACCGATGAGATCGATGCCGGGATGTCTTGAGTTTTGTCGGGCTCCGGCGGTTTCATGCACTGTTCGTTCAATTTCAGGACCTCGAATTCCGGGAGCGAAGTTCCTAACTGCTCGGATTGGGCTCGTTGAAGTGCAGTCAGTTGGAGTTCTGTGAACTGTTGGAGTGGAATTCGAAGGGCTCCGGTCGGTCCAAGATGTAAGGGGACTGGTTCGTGGCTCCCGCGAAGTCGGAGCTGGAGACCTTTCTCAAGACACAACCCTATGTCACCATGACAATGAAGGAGGAAGCTGAGGGACAAGAGGAACGGTGCATTGGTGCTCTCGTCGCTGTCGAAGACCGCTGGTTTCAGGAGACTGCCTTTCAGTCCCAGTGAACTGGGAACACTGGCTACCTGGGTGGTAATCGAGGTTTTGTGGACGCTCCTGAACTTGTTGGTCTCGGGATGAATGGTGATCTTCAGGCCAGGTGGTAGATGTTCACTGAACTTCCTCAGGGTCGTTGCTCCAATTGCCAATCTCTGGCATCCAGTGTCAACGGTGGCGCATGTAGCGTCGTCGGGGGTTAGTTGGGAGTACTGGGATACCAGATCGCAAAACATGTTTTCATAGAAAAACAAACTGCTAACACCCAAATAGCCGTTCTCACCTATTCCCAAACCCAAAACCATGTCACTCTCCGTATATGACCGAGCGGTCGAGCAGTGGTTCGAGGCAAAAGCTACATCTGTACAATCTGCATGGCCTTCGAGTGAAGTCCTCAGGATGCGCGGTTCAGGTGTTCTTGTCCGGGTCATCTCAAAAGGCGAGGAGCTGGCTGGTACATTGCTGGAGAGGTTCTTGTCGATGAACTCTTCCGTCTCCAGGCTGCCCACAAAATGCACCTCGGGTGTGTTTTCCAAAAGGTGGGTCTCGTTCGTTCGAGATGTGCCCATCGATGAGGAGCTGCCTGGTTTCATGTGAGGGTTCTTGCAATCTCGTTTCCAGTGGCCGATCTGGCCACATTGTCGGCAGCGGGTCCTCTTCTGCAGCTCGGCAATCGTCACGGAGTAGGATCCTGGTCGTAGAGGTCGGTCTCGATCTCCCCGAGTCGAACTGAAGTTCGGTCGTCGACCAACTCCATAGCCTCGGGCGAGTTCCTTGGTTTTCTTGTCCTTGATCGACTGAGTATAGGTCTTCCTCTGCTGGAGGTAGGTAGAGAGGATCTCGGCCGCCTCCGATTCACTCAGGGCGGTCTCTTCTGATTGCCCTTCATCCTGGAGCTCCATGATGTAGTGCTCGATGTTTTCGATCTCCTCCTGGTCGGTGCCATTACCCTCATTGACCTCCTCAGTGGCATAGACTCCGTCATACTCAGTGTGGAAAGCGCCGGCTGCCTTCTTCCGGTCGGCCCCAAGCTCTGAGGCAGACAACTTTGTTTCATTCTTTCTCAACCAGCTCTTGATGGAACTGGGCTTGATGCAGCCGTGAGTGTAATTCAACAAGGCCTTGGTATCGCTCTCGGTCAGCTGCAGCCCGTTGATCATCAAGAAGCCTTCATACTCGGGTGGAAGCACGATCTTGTGTTGTTGAACTTTCCGAATGGCGTTGTCCCACTTGGCGAAGTACTCCCTCCAGGACTCTGTCTTCTGCCTCCGGAGGTGGTAGGTGATGCGGGACATGGCCGTCAGCATGTGCTCCTGCTGGTCATCTCCGAAGCGTTCAGGCTTATCCATGTCTTCAAGAAGACGTTCAGCACCTCGTGGATCTCCGAGCCAAACAGGATCTTTTGCCCAGTGCTTGTAGAGCTCGAAGGGTGCTCCTGTCAACATCTTCAACAAGAGAGGCCCTCGCGACTTGGCCTTGTCCTTGGTCGTCGCGATCCATAGTTGGGCCTTGATGTGATAGTCCTCGAATGGGGTCTGTCCATCCCATGATGGTGGAGGTCCGGAAGCCCCTCTTCCTTCTCCACTATCATCACCTTCTTCTTCTTCTCGCTCACGACGGCGCCTATGACGTGTCGGACCGCGGCCTTCTTCTCTCTCCATCTGGAGAAAGCGTTGGAACCGAGCGAAGGCTTCCCGGTCACTCCCTAAAACGTCCTGCGCGCCCTGAGCCCCCGTGGAGCCAGCAGCTGGCGAGCCGCCGCCTGGCGGTTCATCCAAGTCGCCATCCGAAGGTGGAATGGCCTGTCTATCGGCCATTCGAAAACCTAGACGGGATGGGGGCTGGTGACCACCAAGAAAAAGAGTCGAACCCAAACCAGCCCGGTCGGAACCGGGCTCCGCTACCACTATGAAATCGGGGGAACCGCAACAGACCCAACAAGCAAGAACAAGACTCTTTTTCCGGTGGACACAAAGCCCCCATCGAGTCTCTGGCTCCTAAGTGCTTGCCTTGAGTCGAGCGTGGGCGTCCAGTGCATTTTCACAGATTCATATCCCACCCAAGAGACGATGCGTACTCAAACTGATGGTTTTGTGGGATTGTGCAACATGAAAGACCAATGACAGTTGGCAACAACAGAAAGTATGTAATGTAGACTCTTGATGAATAAGAAACCCCTGTTTGGATTGAACATTCTCTTTTTTAACGGTGCTGGGGGGCTGCAGCTTCTCAAATATATATACCTGGAGTCTGGAGTGTGGAGGACAGATGTCACAGTCCGGGAATCCGGAGAAGCAGCTGTTGTCCGATTTTGGCCGCGTAGAAAACGAAGCACTGAGGAGAAAGACTTTTCTCTTCCTGCGCAGGCACTGTGGTTCTAGGAAGGCTGCGAAAGCAGCCATGCTTCCTGCAAGAGCAGCAATGCAGTTGCACGGAGACGAGTAAGCAAAGCCCTAGCGGGCTCCCCGAGCAGCTCGTTCGATGGATCATAAGTCCTGGGTTGCACTTGCTGACAGGCAAGTCCTTGATCCTGTGGTTCTTGGATGCGCCTTAAGATCAGGATGCAATGATACATCATGAACATACAGTACTTTTCTGTTCAAGCAACCCGGTGCTACAGTTGCCCGGCGAACGGGGTTTGGGTGCGGATAGATTGCTGGGGAGGAACTACTGCCCACAGCTGACTGCCCGAGTTCTTGATCGAAACGTGTCGCAAGGGGGCCACGATTGCCGTTTTGAGATGTCCGATGCCCGTTTACCCTCGTTTCTCACTTGTTAGATTTGTCGTGCAAAACGAAGCCTGTTGTTTTGCCAAGGCCTTTCCTTTGCAGGCGCCCTTTGTGCTACATTGACATGTGCAATGTCCACGCAGTAGCCCTCCAACCAGAGACCCTTCCACTGAGCATCTGCCGACGTGCCTATGATGGAGGTAGAATTCAACATAGAACGGTCAAGGAATCTATCGAGTCTTTTGCATTCTATATCTCAAAAAAATCAAATCTGGTTCATTTTTTTTTGCCTATCAGACGCCTTTCTTTGTCCGTCCGTTACACCATGTTTGCTCAGGAAGGTGGTCGGTCTTTGTCTCACAATCAACCGAAGTGGAGAGATTCTCAGTCCCTGATGAATACATGGGTCTGTAGCAAGAGTCTCCATGGTTGAGCCGAGCCCTAGAAACCGCCTGAACCGAAAGCGTCTCGACCGGCAGCTTAGCTACCGAGTTGGACGTTTTTTGTGCGGGAAAAGAACGCATCGAATCGAGTGAGGCAGACGATGGGCGACAGTGACAGGGTCACTGCGTTGAGAGTGGGTGTTGCATAGCTTCATGATTAGTCCGATTCCTGTAAAGGAGGCTTTATGATGCTTTATGTATAAATAGAGTAGTCATGGAGTCATGGAGTCAAAGATGTCAAAGAGCTTCTTATGATCATGCCTCATGTCCTCCCATGTCCTCTCATGTCCTGTACCCGTCAACCAAACGGCTTTTTGATGGTTTAAGATGGTTTACAGTAAGACTCCGGACCAGGCGTGACTGGTATCACATGGTATCACTCTGAAACGTTTGCCCTCTGCCATCGTGATGTTTGCAATTTTTTGGTCCTGCAGAGAGGCGATGAGTTAATCAGCATAATAGGACGTTTTCAGGTCCAGTGCCTTTCAGCGAACATACATATATTCTTTTTGAATGGTGTGGAACGGTTGAAAGGCTTCAGCAGGTCACGGGCAGTCAAGTGTCATTTCGCAACCGTTTTGTGTTGGCCGAATCTCGACCGACCTTCTGTGGACCCTAAGTAAGCGACCTCCATTGGTCAAGAGACGATGGATTGACGAAGCCAAGCCCACTGGGGTTGGATGTCGCTTGTGGTGGGCTCCAGCATCCTGCGGATTCCCGGCCTGCGGCCAGGCAAAATGCCCAGCCAGAGGTAGCGGACATGATTGAGATGATCCTCATTTGGATTCGATACGACCAGAGGAAACTAGATTGGTCAAATGACTTGTTTGACCAGAGGACATTGAGCTTTCACCGAAAGGGTCAATCAGGTTGGCAACCCTCCCGGTGGACAAGCACAGTCAAAAGGCTGGGTCGAATACCTGCTTGGCAAACACCAAAAGTGTCTCATCCACCGGCCCAGTCGGTGTTGTTGGCTCATCCCGAGAAATGTTCCAAAGAAAGCATCTTCTGGATTCACCCGAACCTTGGTTGTAACACCCAGCACGGCTTGGGCCAGTCCACAGTCCCATGGCACTACGTTTAGCTGACCATGAGGCGCTCTTCTTTGCTTTTCTTCTGGGCAGGGAAGGGCGGGCAGTTGGATGCGAACGAACATCCTGAACGTGGATGGGTCAAATCAGCCTGGCTTGAGGTGAGTGCCACTTCATTTTTCCCGTTGGAGACACCACATGATCAACAATGATCAACCGATATCAACTGTTGCTGCTGGGACAACATCGAAGTTGAATCACAGTTTTTTCTTTGCATAAACACCAGATGCAGAGCTGGTGTATGCTGATGTCATTAAACAAACATCATATCATCCAAAGCAACTCATGTTTTCGCCTTTTTCCCACAAAGGGAAAACACACCATGGCGGCATGCATTGGCAGCGTCTCCCTTCTCGGGTCCAAGCCGCCCGAAAGCCAAAGAACGAGATCTCGGACCAACGAGATCTCGGGGGGGGCAACGTCGACGTCTTCATTCTTTCTATCACACCAGATAGGACCCTCCAAAGGATCAGATAGGACCAGCCTATCAAAATTGGCACCTTTTTTTTTCACATTTTTCACCCGATGCTTGGTCTTTGAGATTCAGTCAACATGGCACCTTTTCCATCCTTTTCGCTTGGCATACTTATATAGCACCTTTACATTCCCTCCTCGATTTCCAACATAGGACCTGAGACCCCGGGTCCAACCTGTCGAACCAGGTCCGGCCTCCAAAGTGCCCCTCTGCGTCGCTGCTCTTAGAAGGGTCCGGGCGCGTCTGGAGATGATTCGATTCGTTTTTTTGGTTGGAGGATCTAGATGGATTTAGTAAACTGCGAACAGATACAAAAAAAGGACTTCCCCATAGTTCCTTACTGTAACATTACGATTCAGGACTTGTTATTTTTTCGTATTTCGTAGGCGCCTAAAGGACTGTAGGATGTTCTTCATCCTACCGGACCATTCCAAAACTCTTGGTGGCGATGATTGGGGGGGGGGCAATGGCTGCACTCTTTGGGCAGACAGCAACAGCAGCAACCTCAAGGCTGTAACACCTTCAAGCTGGTGTCCTGGATGTCGATAGCCCCCAACCCTGAGAATCGGACCCGTCGTGGTTTCGACCGGTTCGACCGTGGTGGTGGAAGACCTGTAGAAGCGACCCGTGGTTTTGGGGTTCCAATGTGGACCTCTGCAGGAGTAAACAGCAGTGCACCTTTAGTAATGCATCTGATGATATCTGATGCCTGTTGATGCACTTTGGAATCCATGTTGGTTGCGGTCTGAACCCGTCTTTGAACAGCAGCCACAACGTTTGACCAGTCCATCCACTTGTGGTGACTTTGATTCAGGGAAAATACATGTGAACGATTGGAGCTGTCCATTCGTATGACAAGAACACTTGGAGCCTGGGAGCGTCTAGTTCATGGCCCTTTGTCTTTCAACATTGCTTGTAGGCTTCTACAGCTCTGAGGGCCCATCGGTCCCCCTCTGCGCCTCCATGGGCCTCCCCGTGCGAGCCCTCTGAGGCCATCACTGGGTGGGCGGCACGTGCCCATGCCCAGTGGGCCTATGGCACCCGCCGTGGCGCAGATGAAAGGATCGCTGCAGCCGTGGCGTTGACTGAAGGGGAGCGAAGGGGACCGAAGAGCACTGGGGGAAGGACCAGGGAGTTGCTGTGAGGGAAGAGCTGAAGGAAGATTTCCTGGTGAAGAAGCGTTCCTCACTAAAGACCCCATTAAGGGGCCCAAACACCTTCTTTCCTTTAAGCTGCGTACGTATCATAAGAAGATCAATGACCCCGCCTTGAGTTGGAATTGATGTCTCTTTATAGTTGTTTGCTCGAGCTTGCCACACGCACACACAAACACACATGCCAATCTTTCCACACGACGTGCCTGGTGCACTGGTGCATGTCACAGGGACTTGTGCTACCTGGACCTGGACCGTTCTTGCCGAGGATGTCGAAACGCTACGACGTCTCCTGTGAGATCCTGGGGCGGGAAACTGGAAAGCCCAGACCGCAGCTGCAGGCGATCCTCAAGTCTATGAGGCGAGGAATGAGGATTTTCCACCAGTGCGAGGAATGAAGGGTTTGATCTGCGTAGGGCTCTATTCAAGCTATTCTCGACCACAGGTTCGAGTTTGGAGTATTGCTGAAGATGATTGAAGCCGAAGTGCAAATCAGTCACAGACCTTCTTTCAGCCAACACCTTTCACGTCTCGTTCATTTCTCAGACGCCCTCTCGTTCATGTCTCGAAGTCCTCGGTGGATGCTTCCGATCCTCCCGCTTGGACGCCGGACCGACGCGGGGACCGACGCGGGGACCGAACCGGGACCGAGTCCGCCAGGCGCCCCATCCACGAGATCCACGGCCTGGACGCAGAGCACTGGTACGCCGCTGTGGACCGTGCCCGCTCGGCGGCGCCTCGGGCCCGGACCGGTCGGTGCGTTCGGGCCCTTCATTCGGTCGGTCGCAGAAGCGAGCCGAAATCGGAACGGAAAGGTGGGGTGACCTTTTTGCGGCATTTGGTCTACTGCGCGGGTTCATGGGATTCGGAGTAAAAATGAAGGAGAACCATGGATAACCCTGAACACTCTGAACACTGGACACCTCGAAGAAGAGACAGATGATGCGATTCGGAGTCCGGAGGGTGAAGCCTCTCACCAAGGATTTTTAGTGTGTGTTTCGTTCCGGCTTGCTTTCGTGGTGGATTCAATTCTTCAGGCTCACTGGGGCGGCTGAAGAGAGAGTTAATAAGGTGGAGGCTGTGAACTTCTTGTGCTGAATGCAACTCTTGATGACAATTCATGGAACACCTTGGGAGATCTGGGGAGCTGAGCGGCATTGAACTTGATCGAATGGTGTCCGAGGAAAGGAGACGACGTGGTGGAGTTGATAAGAGACCCGTTCCCTCCTGGAACTTCAGAGGCTATGAGTCAGTGCGCGCAAACGGAGGAGGCAGTTGCTTGCTGTATGTAGTTGGACCACCCAAGTCTCGTGCGATGTGCAGAATTTGATGCCGGCATGCCCAGGTATGATACATGATGAAATTCACGAAGGTTTGTTACACACAGTGGTCTCGAGTCTCAATGGATTTGCAATCCGTCCACACACACATGGTTTCACGCCCGGTACCTGTCAATCACTAGCTAGGGGCATGCTAGTCCACATGTCGGTGCGTCAGCTGCTCGATGAGTTTGGGAATGCACGGAGCCGGCTACCAGCTGGCTATTGACAGTCTAAACTTGGCTTGATTGTTGGCGACTGCTGGTTGTTGGAGTAAACTTTTGTCAGGACTTTTGTGCAAGCTGTGACATGATAATTCACCACCGCTTTACAGGATAATATACCTTGAGTATCCTTCAGTAACAGCCATTCCTTTCCTCACAACCCATTTTACTTTCGCACCGCCAACGTCTCAAGACGTCCCGTTTCGAAGCGTTCGCGGGCTTTTTCGCCGTCACGTCGAGACGTCCACCCACTGGGTGTGCAGGTGGGGGGCCATTGAAGCCTGTACCTGCAGGAGGGGACGTCGAGCACAGCAAGTGGTCGTTGCGGACGAATCGCCCGAACCTCCGTGGATCGGCGAAGTCGTGACGGAGTGGGTCTGTCGGAGGACGACTCCGAGATCTCAGAGATCCCAAACTTTGAGACATAAGGATACATGAGGTGCATTCCATTGCCAGCAACAGTCGGTAAAAGATGATCCAGCAACGGCATGGATTCCGGACTTTAATTACTTGCTAGAATGATTCATCCACTGACCCCTGTAGTAATATACCCATGTAGAACACACTCTTTGAATCTCTTTGAATCTTTGAAGTTTCCACCTCCACCCAGGTGAGTCATTCGCCGATGTTGGGACTTCCCTCGTTCCCTCGTTCCTTCAATCCCAAGTCATCGGTGAAATTCGATGTGAACCAGGACACTCTCCCGACAGCGAGCTTCCAGCAGTCTCAGTGCGGCGGCAAAGAAGGGCCAGGGCTGGGTCGTCCAGTGAGCAGCGGTCAGTCTTCAAACGGACGACGCATGACGACGCACATCTAGGGTTTTTTTGATGTGTGCTTTGTCTAAGGCACCAGAACTCGACTTCTGTGAGACACCATGGTTTTTCAGACCCGAAGTAGCCGGTATCTCAATTAGTCTTAATAAATTGCAGAAATTGGAGGATGTGTTCTGTTAACATGGGTTTTGGTATGTTTTGGTCAACATCATACTTGCTTAGGGTCAAACATGGACTTTGGAGTACGAGTCAGAGGAAGTGCAGATCTCATCACATATCCACTTGGTGTCCAAATTCTCAAACACACAGCCTTCTCGCCCCAATCGTTGGCGTTTCGGTAATAAATTGTTAGTATATGTTGTGTGGTCCCCAAGGTGCATCGCTACTAGCAGCAAGAAGCTACTAGGGGCGCTCCTGGCATTACTAGTAGCTAGAAGCCACCAGAAGCAAGGAAGCTACCAGTTCCTCATGGGCCCAATTCCACCAGGTCGGTGACCGGTCCACCCGATCCGATCCGAACTCCGGTCGTCCACGGCCCGGCCCGGACTCAGCTTCGTTGGAAGCTCTCCGAGCAGCTGCAGCGGCAAGCGGAGCTGAAAGCGAAGCTGTGGCGCGTCAGCAGAGCGAAGGAGGGAAAGATGGGACCATAATGGACCATTTGAGTGACATGTGGGTGGCGGTGGGAGCATATGAGGACCTTGGTGATGGCCCCCCACCCTGAAATGATTTATTGTGAAGCATGATGCAAGATGGTGCAAGGACATGCGCGAGCAGCATCCCTCGTGGCTTGGCGCCTTTTCCTGGGGTCTCAAGGATGTCTCTCCAGGACTTGGACACCAGGGAGATTGGCGTGTTTACTCCAGAAGTTTAGAAGCAGCCGCAGGCCACAGCTTGAACACCAGAATCCCATAGATGAGGAGTGGCGAAGCCGGGATGAACATGAAGCCGGGCCGCCCACCCGAACAGATTGACCCAATGCATGCGGCAATCACCTGAACCTGTTCAACGTGATGTAGACTTTGGAACAGCGGGGCTATCGATTTCCAGTGTACCGCTGGGCAAGTCCACTACAATGGTATCATGCCAGATACTCAGTCTGACTGAAGCGCCTGACATGTAGGATTCCCATTACATTCGCCAGCCTCAGATTGATCACTGATCGCCCTGGGTCGTACCCGAACCATGACGAGGTCCTCGGGTCACCGAAAGGACCGAGCCATGCACCGACCGTTTCACGGCTTGAGGCGGGAGTTGGAGGAGCCCAACGAGAGGTCGGCAGAGCACACACAAGGGCGGGGGACACAAGAAGATCAACGAGGTGCCATACCTACAAGGGGGTTCATATTTCAGCTTTCACCTTTGTACCATGTTGCATGCGCAGTGCACCCAAGTAACTAGAAGCCGTCGTGGCCTGGTCTTTGGACACGTCGCTGGGATAAAGGTTCCAAGGGACAAGATGCGAGAAGGCTTCTCAAAGTTATACTGTATACTGTATATGGACTGCACTCAAAAAGCCCTACTCAAGAATTTTAGATAAACGTAAACTTTTAGGGTTGGAGATGAGTTTTAAGTCTTCGTTTAGAAGCGGGCCCCCAGCAGACTATGGTGATACAGCAAGGCAGTGCTAGATTGGCGCTAGGTTGGCGCTAGGTTTCTTCATAACAGGATAAGCAAAGAAGAAACAAGCAGAGAGCAGGAAAAAGAAGAAACAACACAAGAAAAAGGAAAAACAAAGAAGAAGAAGAAGAAGAAGAAGAAGAAGAAGAAGAAGAAGCCGAAGAATGCGCAACAAGAAGAAGACAAGCAAGCAGGAAAACTAAGAACCTGACAGGATGAAGAAATCGACGGAGATTTTTGCGCTAGGCTGGCGCTAGATCCGCGCTAGCACCGCGCTAGACGACGGTCCATTTCTTGACCATCTGCCCATCCAACACCTGAATGTTTTGAGTCAGCTCTTACGTCCTTCCTATGTCGTTTTGAAGACTTCTGAGAATTGGAAACAACTGCAAAGTCTAGCAGCAGCAGTAGCAGCAGCAACAACAGCTCCAGCAGCTCAACAGGCCCCTGAAAAGGTCCGCGCTAGACACCTCTCACAACTTTTGCAGTTGACATGCCTTCATATTGAACATCCCTGTGGTTTGAGTGTGGTTGGAGTTTAAAGGAGAATTAGAAGCGGGCCCCCATGGAATTGCGATGAGTGCACCATTTTGGGAAAAGACATTTTGGAAACCAACCATATGTAACTTATATAATTGATTATAATTGGTTGATTTAGCTTCGACAAGATCAATGTATTTGGGGAAGGGTCAACACCGGGGTGACTCCACAGGTAAAATGTTATCCATCCTGATCAACTATCAACGAACCCTGATCGCTCGATGCCTTCCTTTCCCATGGGTCAGGTTGGAGACCATGGGGCCAGGAGCAGAGGAGTGGGGCAATAGCGTCGACACTGGGATCCTGGAGCAGTGAACAAGGGATCCATCGTTAACAACTGTTTTCAATGATGTTGCGACCAACGCCCACAGGTTCTTTTTCAACTTGAGAATTTGACATTTTGAGCCACAGGCCAGCCAGCTTTTTCTGGAGATTGTGATTGCTGGGCCCAATATTGTCAAAATGTATGTCATAATCTGTGTTCTCAGAGAGCTAGGAAGGGTTCAAATTCTGAAGCTGGGCACTGGTGAGTGGCGTGACTTGAAGGTTTCTGTCCCAAAAGAGCAGCTAGAAGGAGCCATCAGCAAACTGCCACAGAAGAGCTGCCCTTTCAAATTTCTGGTGTGCACGATTGATTCAGCAAACAGTGCCATCATGGGCCATCTCCATTCCGCAAGTCCGGGAGAACCAGAAAAGCGAAGTGAACCGATCCCACACAACTGTGCCAGGAGAGCGGGGGAATTTCCGACCTCCCAACACGCTCAACCACAGGTTTCTCCGGTTCGACCGTTTTGGGCGCTGCAGATGACGCTTCGAAGCGACAGACGTGCCTCAGGAGGTGTTCCCCACGTCATTCTCTCAAATGGATGAGGCGGGACCCGACCGGACCGCGATGGCGAGAAGCAAGATCCAGATGAAAGGAGTTTGACTGCCTGTTCAAAGGGAGTGGAATCAACTGAAAAGAAGGACCTTGAATATATAGTACCCCAGAGGTGCACATTGTGCCCATTATCTCCCACAGTCGTAGTGGCAACTGGCCATCTGTGTTCTTTCGATCGATTCAACATCCAGGCCCAAAATCTACACCTGGTATACCACAGTATACCCCAACCAAACCTAGGACGAAGCGGAAATTGTAGCTACAGTATTCTACCCTCCCGGACTCCCCAGACTCCAGACAATCATTGACAATTGAAGGTGAACATGGCCTCTTCAAAAGGACTGTCAGCTTCCACTTGCATGATTGCCGTAGAACGTTCCGGGTCGCCTTCTCAGTGTTCTTGTTTTTCGAACAACCTATATATTGAATCTATTTCAACTATAAGAACACACATGAGACACCTTAGATCGGAGACACCGAGCGAGCAGCTTCTCACTAGGGGTTGACTGCACCAGAGACAACCAAAAATGGTCGCTCTCCTTTTGAGAACAACTCCATCCGACTCCTCCAAAGACACCCCAACTCCATCCGACTCCATCAGCCTCGACCTGACCTGTGTCTCTTTTCCGCTTTCAATCTGTCTTAGACAGGCGACGGTGCAGCGTTTGGTGGAAGAGCAGCGGGCAGTTCAGGACGGCCGTTTTCCTTTCATCGTGGTCCTGATCAGTAACATATTTTTGGTCAGGACATTCTAGCCCAGTGAGTTACTGTATACTTATATTACTAATTACTATATCTTGAAATGTCTTGAACATCGTGAAATCTTGGAGACAGCCGGCAGCCCCTAGAAGACCCAACTCACTGATTGGTTGTGTGTTAGTGACTTGGAGACACACATATTTTACGTATACATGTACAATATATACATATGTTATTCTTCACTGGCAGTCTATTGTGATTAAAGAGCTTAGGACCGCCTCCACGCAAAGTTGGAACACCTCCTGGATGGAGACAGCAGGCGGTTCCTGGACGGGTTGCAGGTGAACTGCGGGGGACCTGGCAGAGTCGAAGCCAGGGGAGCTTGCTTTCCCAAGAAGCTGCTAATACAACAAAGCACCCTGTATATTCACCCCAAGGACCACATTTCATTTGATTTGTTTCAGGGCGATATCCTACAGGTCAAGCAAATTTGTTCAGTGATCGTATGCAAACACTGCAATGGTTCTTCAAGTGGTTCTTAACACCTTGATCCTTGGCTGAGATCAGTCACCTGCGTCACCTGAAGCAGCACGGGTTGGCTCGGTTGGATGGGAAAGTCTAGAATCTTGGGATGATCACCAAAAACCGTTTTTTTTCAAGTGAAACCGGTCTTTCTTCATGAGCACCTTGGATAACCGGTTTCTTCAATTTCGTCCTTCTTTTTTTTAGGTTGTCGAAGCTCATGGTAGATGAAAGGATGACATGACAAAGTCGTCAAAGTCGTCCGAATCCAATGGGTGATGAATGGTGACATGCGGCAAACACCACTGAAGAGTCGCTGGCTCCGTCGTGGGGTAGAGTTGATCATCTCCCCAGAAAGCGTGGAGAAAGCGTGTACCACAGCCTGGGCAGTGTGGCCACAGCATTGGGCTTGCCAACTGAGACAACCATGCCAGCGTTAAACTCATCATACTCTTCTGTGACTCGGATGGGCAGCCCATTCTGCGGCCGCTGCTCGGGCGATCCGTTATCCGTTGGTTCGTTCCGGGAGGTCACGTGAAATGTCTGACGTGCGATGGGGCTAGGTGGGCTTGGATCATCACGTGAACTGACAGCACTTGGATTGTGATTGTTGTCTTGTGATCACCAAATGAAGAGAGAGAGAGAGAGATCTTCGCCTGAGCCTTAAAAAAACCGTTGCAGCGACTCCATGAGTTTGCTTCAGAGGACTCGGGTCATGGGTCGTTCGTTGGGACTCCATTCCGGCCAGAGACCGACCTTGAGACTCGCCCCGTTCGTCGGTGCAGGTCCGGAGGATTGCACCCGAAAGACCGCGTCCCGGTGCAGGAGCGGGGTGAGGGAAGGAACACCCCCGGGGGGGGGCAAGGCTCTCTTGTTCAAGCGAAGAAGGCCAAACACCTCGAAACAATAGGTCTAACCGCAGGTCTAACAGCAGCATGTACGGGCTGTACGGGCCTCATGGAAATCTGGGTCCGGTGATACTCGTACAAGAAATACCACCCTAAAGACTGAACTCAAGAACATGTTCAATCACTTGGTGGCACCATCATCCAGTCAAAGCCATGCGAACAACATGGGAACGCAGAAGGCAAATCCTTCCACAGACATCAGAGGAGAAGCAGTTGCTGGCCGAAAACCAGGAGCTGGAGAGACGCTTCTCGGCAGCACGACTCCAGCCAGCACTGGAGGTGGAAAGAGAGGCTTGCGACCACATTAATCATTAGCATAAGAATGGCATCTCAATCTGAAGGAGGGCATATGCGGGCACATGCGGGCACGTTTTCAGCCTCTGACACATCCTGACACAGATCCCTCACCAAAAAGGGTCTTTCAGCAAACCTATATGCCAAACCATCCACATGATGCCGCGTTTGATGTCGCTAGATCCAGGCCGCGGCCGCTGCCGCGCAACCCCCCCGACCCACAGCATCTCACAGCAAGCTGTCGACTGATCGGAGGTCTGCAGAAGCAAATGGAGGAGGTTCAATCACAAGAGGAAGCCTTACAGCGCTTGCAGGAGCAGGTGCCTGGTTGACTGTCACACTGTGCATAATGATATATATATAGCCCTAAACTCCTTGTGAAAGGCGGCTTATGCTTCTGTGCAGCATGTCAGCACAAGCGTTGCCCCAATCTTTCAATCTAGCAGGAGGTTAGGTAGGATAGACCAGAAACCATTTTCACATGCATGCTCCACATTCATAGGCCTGTAGGCATATAGGCATAATATGGCATAATCAATATTGTCAATATATATATATATATACTATATACATATACATATACACATATGTATATACCATACAATGTTGTATTTTGTACAATGCATATATAGTTAAATCCACAATCTATACCGCGCAATAAAGTCAAACAAGACACATCTTGTGTATACAAATCTTCCATGAGTATATACTTGTTTCCATGCGAGTGCGGGGCCACGCACCGGAGGCGAAGCATTTACAGTCCACAGCTCCGTCGGCTTCGCTTCACAGCTTCGCGTGAAGGGGTGGTTGGCTAACCTGCGAGTGAGACGCTCGGTCTGGGGTGAGGAAGACGAGCCACAGATGACATGCTACAGCTGTATCATGCTCCGGACAGAGACATTGCGTATTTCATCGTATTTCTATCTGGTGTCAGAGATGCTTGATACAGCAATACCAGCTTCGGATGAATGATCCACTCGTAGAAGATGTCCAGGAAACATTGACAAAGTATGAACAAGTTACCTTTTATGGAGGTTTTGGATATTTTTCATAACATTCTTTTCAGGTCCTTTTTCATTTCATGTTTCCTCCTAAGTTCCTTTTGAATGCAATTTTTGTTGTCTTTGATTACCTTTTGAATTCCCCATATATATATATTTTAAATAAACACATCTCTTTTGCCGAGCTGTATTTGGTTCTTTTGTGTTTTTTGTAGAAATCCCTTTCAATACATGATACTGTATATACTCTATATTTTCAATACATGATACTTTTCAATACATGATACTATTTTCAATATCTGTAATATACTGTACAAATATTTTATTGAAACTATATTCATTCTGATGTCCTTTTTCTTCTTGTCCTTGCGATTCTCCTCTTGTCAGTGCATGTCAACCTATTCTCTTCAATATCCTTCGAACTTCATTGTGGGCCTCTTAAGATGTTCCTTTGAACTGTCTATATGTCCGCTCATTTACCGCTGGATGTTTTTTGATGTCCTTCTTTATCCCAGTGGTTCCTGCTCTTTGGGATCCTAGGGTTCTAGGGCTAGCATTTCAAGATGGGCAACCACCAGAAACATCAAACTGGTAGCTGATGGCTTGAGATTTGTTCAGAAGTGGCGAGATTGCTTGGATGAAGGCGGTGGTTCGAATCAGATCCGATGACTACAAATTTACGAGTCCAAATGTGTTCCGTATACACCTGGAAATTCAATAGTTACAGAGCCCGATCCTGGTGGGGAGCTGTTAGGTGTCGTGGTTGTAGTTGTCTAACAAGTGCTTTAAGATCAATTTCAAAACTTGGAAGCGCAAGTATTGGCAGGCAAAACTGCTCATGCTTCAGCAGAACCTTAAAAACAATCTGGTCCGGTGGCATTACTGAATAGGAGGTCAATTGTGTGAGTGTGTGATACTAAACCAACCGTGATGTTTATACATGTTGTGAAAAGATTGGAGTGTTGAACAAGGCTGCTTGTTCGACAATTGCCCAAATTATGAAAGAGACGGCGAACAAGACCACTTATATATTTATACACATCATCATTCGGCTCGTTACTTCAGAGACTTGCAGAGACTTGCAGAGACTTGCAGTCTTGAACCATCCTGTACAAAGAGCCACTGGCACGACATGCGTGGATTCATCGATGAGCAGGAACTGAAGGCCATGATATTAAACAATGAAAAGCAACTAAAATAACTCTTCAGAGTCAACTTGAGATTCAACCCCACAAACTTGCTTCCATGCTCCCCTCGGATCTTCCCAACGGGTAAGTCGTCGCTTTGAGCATGTTCACTCCTGGCCGGTAATTCCTGCCCACCGACAGGAGTGTTGCACTGTTAGCCACATGAAGACACTGTTCCCACCGAACCGAGAATCAAAGGGTTTGATCGCAACAGAAAAGGTACACGTGTTATTATACCGTTTTATGCTATTCTATCGTTATTATTTATATATCCGTGGCACTGATATTATATCCATTGTTATATGTCCTTCGTTGGGAATCCAGGCACTGTTGCGATCTCTTCGTGTCACTGGAATTCCCTGCATGGCACTGGTCACGTCCCAGGTCCGCAGCTGATGTCTCAGCGACAGGTGTCAAAACGGTTCGCTGCGGCTGTGTGAGCTGCGTGCTGCCCGGCTGTGTGAGCTGCGTGCTGAAATCTTGGCCCCCCTTCCCACCGCTGGAGGAATTGTTGATGTGAAACAACACAGGAATTGTTGGTGAGCTTCTTTCTGGGCACAACGGAGGAACAGTTTCTACTTTTTTCGCAAATGGCATGGTTCGAATTTGCTCCTTTAAATTGTCCCAGAGCCCCACGAACCACGGGGCTAATGAAGTAGCAAATGGACACATGGCCAAAGATGTGGTTCTGGAGTTGGTGTTGAGATGTTCAGTCTGAGTCCCTTATCAGCTACAAACCAAACACCGTACTGTACTGCATACTTCGTTTGGTTTTGTCTTGCAAGACAGAAACACCTGCAGTCAGCCACAACCTGGTGAACAACCACCGGTGGAAGATTCAAAGTATTTGATCTTGCTATGATGGTTGAAGATCATTGATGGTTGCTATTACTTCCAAGGCATGCGATGCGTCACAGCTACATTGTCTTTTGAGTCTTCGCTCTTTGTGGGTGTGCCTGAGGGGAATTCGTTTGAGTGGTCATGTGGCTGGGAACGCGTACGTTTCTGACCGTTTCCTCTTGCTGGATGCGGGTGTGGCCTGTTGGTCAAGCAAAATAGATGAAACGACACGAATGACCAACCTACTTGCAGATGATTGGTGGTATTACAAATTACATAGTTTTTATAGATGTGTACTGTATGGCATGAATGGCATGAATGGCATCATTACAAGATTACAAGAAGCAGATGGGGTGTACAGGGCTCACGTGACACACTGTGAGCAAGAAAGACACCACATGAGCTCTCTTTGTTAGTGGACAATGACAATACCAATTATTTGTTTGTTTGGAGTTATGTGCGACACAGCTTTTTCATGTGGCCTGCAGTCAACGGCGTTTGGTATCCTCTCTTTACTCAGGAAACAGTGACGACATCCAACATTTACAGCACCGGACGGATCATACCTACGGTCCATGACCTAGGGTCCTTCGCGATGGTCTTACATCCAGACAGAGGTCGTCGGGGCAGAGCCAATGCCCCAGAGGTCGTCCGGCGCCCGTCGGTGCGCCAGGCAGTGCCAAAAGGTCTAGCGTGTAGCAGCCGTGCACTAACTATGAATTAAGGCATGCATGGCGCTCACGTGAAAACAGGCAAGCCCAACACCAAGGCTACACAAGCTGAGGAATCAAATCAAATGCGCTGAGAATTCCTCACTGTAGAGCAACTTCAAATACCGCCTGTATCTGGTGAAAGGCAATCAAACTCATATCAAAAGGCGCAAAAACAAGGCATGCAACACTGTACACATCGCCGTTGCACCTTGTCGCCACCATTGGTGTTGTCAAGGTAGTCAGTAGTCTTGCAAGCTCCACATCTCCATACCGAGTTTCTTTGTTGACCGCATTGTGCACACGCACCCATCATGCCATCCTCCATCACAACGTTTCAGCTCTGTTAGCCTAGCTGGATGGACTCCATTGCGCTCCACTCACAACGCATCTTTGCACACTCATGTCGTGCAAAACCTTCCGTCCTGCACACAAAGCACCCCAAGACTTGCAACAGAGACCACATTTGTCAAGGTTTTCCGACTCGACGACAATCCTTGACCATTCACATTGTACCCCACACGTTCGCGCTCACGCTTTGAATCGCTTTGAACAAGGCTCCAAGACTCCATCCCAGGAAGTAAGCGCAGGTAATTGTTGATGGATGGGATGGGATGCACCCCCAAACATGGCAGTGAACGTGCCACTCATGGGCACTGGGGCTCCGGTTTTTTCCTAGATCCAAGCTATTCTCGAGCCCTTACAATGTGTACATATATATATATTATATTATATAGAGAAAAGTCATAGAAACATGCCCGAAGGATGAACTGAAAGGCCGAAAGGATGAGCACAAGGGGTATAGGACAAACCATAGAAACAAGGCTAATGATTACGTAATATATATATATACATACTAATCCCAAGTCAGCCTAAAAATCTTGTGCTGACCTGAACCTTTGCTCTTTCTTTTGGAATGGCAGCCCAGTGTTCGCGCAGTGTTCGCGACCGGCTTCAACTGCCATCATCGCGTTTCGTCCAAGGCTCCGGGCGTTCTCGTCCGCGCCGTGCTTTTGGGCGCTGCTCTGCTGAGCTTCGAACCGCTCCGAGGTGAGACTCGTTGCCTTCAGAACCGGGAGGAAGGGTGAGACTCTTTGACTTGGTGAGACTCAGTGGTTGCCCGATATTTTCCTATTGGATTGGACTTTGGGAGAGTGAAGCTGATGGTGTTTTTTTTTACAGTAAATGTGTTTACGTTCTTGTGATGAACCTCATATGTATGGATCCATTTTATGGGATGACAGTAAGTTGAAGCGGGTTAAACAAGGTTGAACATGGTCAAGCCACCAAAGTTCAGAATCAGCTGAACTTACTCTTTTTGTTGTGTGTCCACCTTCTGAAACGTTTTCGGACGCTAAAATCTGCTTAAGCGTCATAATTATAGATTTCTCTGTGTTCAAAATACGCTTGGGGTGGGTTCCTTACATCAGCACCACGGGCTCAGTCTTCTGGGACTCCCTTCGGTTCGGCGCAAGGCCTTTGGAGCTTCGTGTCCAGTCCCAGGCTGAGCTTGGTCGACGGAACCGAGGGACTCTCGGATGGAAGTCTCGGATGGACCGACAGGGCGCGACAGGACCAGAAATTGGAAGTTGATCTCAGATTTTGGATGCTACAGGATCTCGCCCCCGAGAGATCTTTCGCAATGACAGATATGACAGAGAAAAAGGAAGACCATGTTGTGCATGGATCATTTTCAGAAAGACGGATCGGCGCCAAGAGCCTTTTGGGTTCATGGACAATGCAAGCCACCAGGAGGCTTTGTGAATTCGGCCGGTGAGGCGTCAGCAGCATTCGCCCATGTCAACGTGCATGCGCGGCCAAAGCCCGCCTTCCACCGTGTCAGCTTCGACATCCGCCACAAGTGCGGTGCTTCTGCGTGTTCACCGGATCAGCCAAGCTGGCCCAGCTGTTCCCTTCATCCACAATGGTTTCTTTTACTCGGTGGCTCCACGCGGAAGGATGACCTCAGGGCAACTTGCACACCATGGATGGGACGTCGTCCAGCAAACAGCTTTCCAGGCGACCCCTTCAGTGTCTCGAAACGCGTCGGTTTCAATAGGCCCTCACCGGTGGAGACTGACGGAACCGTGGTCTGTTGAGACGGTTTCCCTTGGCGACCACGGGCCCTGCAGGTCTTCAACACACCGGCTCCTACACCTCTGTTCCAATGCAAGATCTGTCTCTCCAGCCTGCCGCTGAAGGAGCGTGTGATTTTTCAGGAATGCCGAGACCCAAATCATGGCTGCTGCAGGGAGTGTACTGGCAAGTGGATTGAAGAACGTGTCCTATCAGGCTGGTGCGACGTAGAATCTCGCAGATTCTGAGCGCTTAATTACAGCGCGCGCGCGCGATCGATTCATTCTTCCGTTCCCAGAAACTCTGAGGATTCTGAAGCATCATTCAAAGCGCTTCGCTCAGCTAAACAATCCCATCTTGAAGCCATAGAGCCATAGAGGTATCAGAGGCCAGAAATTTGCCATTAACATCCATTCACCTGCTTCTACAAAATCTTCCAGCATACAAAACGAGAAAGATGTGGTCCCTCGGCGTTGTTATTCATTCATTTTCCTTCGATTTCATGTTCCCTCGGGCCATCAGGATGATGGACCACTTTATTACTTCTAAAGAGACAATGACCACTCCCAAAGAGACAATGACCACTCCCCCAAGATGTCATTCATCTCTGGAGCCGACCCAGATCTCTCTGGGCACCGGTTGGTAGGCCACATCCACGGCCTTCTGTGCAGCCGCCGTGGAATGGTGGAGTGCGAAGCGGCTTTGAAAGAGGATGAAATATTAAGGCCAGGACTTCTCGACAAAAAGAGATGGAGATGTGGAGGACAGAATCGGAAGATGTGGTGCTCTACATGCTTCTTTTTTGAGCATGTGAAAAACACGTGTTTCAGCTGAGAGTAAAGAGAAAGAGATCATTACAGAGAAATCACATGTGGGGTAACTTGTGACAAATTCGCTGCCTTTTCTTTGTTGTTTTCTTCGTTGTGTCGAGTTCGTGAAGGAACATGTAATGAGCCCGACACATACCGAGTATTTGCATCACCTGGCCGTTCTTCGAGTACATGGTGGCGCTTGAATATTTTTGAGTCACACCTTACTGTTTTGATTACGCAACGCAAGAAACTTGACCTGAGGACAGCTACAGTAGCAACTGCTGTGATTCTCCATGATTCAGTTTATCTATATATGGAAGAAAAACACACAATACCACACACATAACAGAAAAATCATATACACCTATGCAAATCTGGAATCATAATCTTTCTCAAGACCGCACCTCGCCGTTAGATCACAACCGCACCTCGCGTCGCTCCAGGCTGGCAGGGCCTGAGATTTTGGCCAAGTACAAGCGCTTCGTGGAGATGGGACAAGACGCCACGGCGCGGTCGCGTTCACGCGGCGCATCCACGGGCGGGTGGAATTCAGAGGAAAATAATGGACAAAGGGTCTGAAGGAGTTGTTCTTTGTGTGGCAGGATCAGTGTTTGCGTGGTGAAAGTGAGTTGCACTGACTTTGAAAGGATGGTTGGTCGAAAGGTGTTGAAAGTAGGTGGTCTCGATTTTATGTGTCTCTACATATATAAGTTAGTAAAGGATTTTGGCTGTTTTGTTGCTTCGCAAGTCACTAAGGAGATCACCTGTGCCAAGACCAACAGTTGGCTGGTGGCCCCCCCGGTGTTTTTCTTTTGGACGGGTAATGGATGAAGAGTGAAGCGCAGGACCATAGACATCTCTCGCAGACTGAATGCCATTGGATGCCCCCTAAATGGCAAGGCCTTTTGGCAACGGCCATGCTGTTTGAACCTCTTCATAGCTGGTGGTGTCGAGTATGCGTAATTAAGTGGGTTTCACTTGGCTTTGAGCCACGAAAAGGGCGAACTCTGGGAAAGATTGACTGGAGGAGATCAGAAGTGCCGGAATGCCGGAACGCCAGAGCCGTTTCTTTGGGGTGTTTTGTGTGGCTTCTAGCCGTATCCTGCCACCGCATGGAAGAAGAAACTGAGTTCAGCCTCTGAAGCCCCCGACCTTTGGCAGGTGAGAGAATGCCCGCGTTGCAAGAGGATGTGCAAACCAAAGCTGCTGCAAGGGGAGATCCAGGCAGAGATGCATTGCCCCAGCTGTGGTGGCGCATTTTGCTACTACCATTCGAATGCGCATGCTGGTCGATCCTGCAACGAGTACAGCCAAGAAATTGCGAGGCAGGAGAAGGAGATGCAAAGTGGGGCTTTGGCCGATAGTAAGCAATGCCCCAACTGTGGAGTGCACACCGTGAGGACCTGGGTCAGGGGCTGTGCTGCTGTCGATCCGGGGATCGCATAGAGAAGAAAACGGGGGTCGTGTGTCGTTCGTCGTTCGCCGGCATGTTGACCTGAGAATTTCCGTTGAAAACATATCGACAGGACGAGTGGGTGTAACCACATGGTCTGCGCTGAAAGAACCTGTGGTGCAGACTGGTGCTGGTGTTGTGGAGCAGAGATTCAAGGTGGCGCCAATGGAGTCGCGGAACATTATTCCACTGGCCCATGCCAGCAATTTCCAGATCTCACACCAACGCCAGGTTGTTGGTTGTCCTGCATTCAGCTGGTGACATGGCCCTTCAAGTGGTGCTTCCTCTTGCTAGGACTTCTCCTCTTCATCTTCTGCCTGCTGATCACTCCGGTAAGCCTGACCATCATCCTGACCTTCCCCTGCTTCTTCCATGTGAGGCTGAGGAGTCAACAGGCCTTCAAGTCCCTCATCTTGCTGCCAGGCCTGCGGCGCCTGCGGTTGGACCATGTTGGACAAGCACTGTTGGACCGGACCAGGAGAGACATGGGGTATCACGGTGTCACGCATCGCAAAACAACACCCTCGTTGTCACCTCTTCTTTTAAACACATGTGAAGAAATGAAACCATATTTTCGTTCCATGTTTGGAGAGGCTGTATTGTCTATTTGTTTTTTTGCCTGCTGTGGAACCTGGTGTCGGGCCTCCTCTTGCTGGCGATCAACATCGTCGTCGCGCCCGTGCTTCGATGCATGGTGGCATCGTGCACAGCGATTGACGCCTGGGAGCAAGTGTCTCGCGTTTGTTTTTGCTCCCTTATTGTGATTATCAACCCTTGATTTGAAATTGCATGAAATTACCAAGAACACACATCAACAATCCCAGGGTCGGTGCCCAGCAGCCAGTACAGAATTTCCATTGGGATATTACAGCTTAAATCGAATCAATCCTTGGGTGGTCACCATGGAGATACAGAACTTTCCTTTTCACTTGCAAACTCCGCAAGAAAGAACGGCGTCCGGTTTCTGGAACTTTTTTGACACAGACTCCAGGTTCGCTAGGGCTGCTAGTTTGGGGGTGGTATAGACTGAGTAGACCTCCTCAGCGAACTAGGGAACTGTCCTCATTACTGTCCTCATTTCCTCTAGCCTCCTAGGAATTGGCCGAAGACGGTGAGCTTCAGTTTCAATGTTTCATTTCTTTGTTGCTAGAATCAGATGTGTCAGGACATCGGAATCATCGATCACACGCATTTTATTTGGGTGTGGAAACAGCCTTTGATGGCTCTGGAAGAAGGGCGTCCCTGGCTCCAGTGCTACTTCAGAAAGTGGCCCGGCCAGCGCTTCACATGGCTCGTTCGATGCTGGAAACCAACACTTGTTTTCAACTTGGACTGGAACCAGAAGTGTCTACAGCTTCATATAGGATTCTTATGGATTCTTAATAGGGGCTTGTCTTCCAGCATTTTTTGTTTTTAGTTGCCTTTGTGCACCCTGATGTTACTTATTTAACATATCTTTAAAAAACACCATAAAAATCCGTACGCCCGTGTTCTATGATTGTATATTGTAGCTCAATAAAGGGAAGAAGATGAAGAAGTGCACATTTGTAGTATAGTGTTTGTAGCAAAGTGCACATTGATATAATATACAAAATAGTTCAAAATAGTATATATATAGTATACTATATAGTCCTACACTTGCTTTTTTCCCTTTTACTATACATCCTTCCACCAGTTCCTGCTTCAGGTGGACCTGGTGGCCGGACTTCGACAGCGACTCCGACACCTCGTCCAGTGAGTCGGGAGGGAGCAGCCCGGGCCGCTCCCCGTGAGGGGCGCAGCGACGACGGATGGAGCGAGCGAGGATCAAGGGCGGACGAAGCGAGGCGCTTGATGCACGCAGGACGTAGCGATGCCCTACATGGAACGGTTGGACAACTAGTTTCCCTTTTTTACAACTCAGTGGTTTTCAGGTTCCATGTTCATCTTCCAGGGCGTAGGATTTTTGCATCTGAGGAAAAGGGGTCGGGCCATCCTGTGAAACACACTCGTGAAACGTGGACTGAAAGTGATTCAGCAAAGTGAGTCGCAGCAGACAAAAGTGCCCTTTTTGGCAGGATTTCCACTGCTAGAAGGATTGCAGTCTATCGACTATCGCTGGGGGTTGTTTGAAGCGAGGGGGCGACCCCAACCACTGGATCAACTCCGTGTCGGCACAAGAAATCCCACACCGGGTATTCTTGAAACGACAAGCAGGGCATCGTTTAATACAGTGTTTGAGGTCCTTCCAGGATGGTCCCAGAGTGCCTCTTCCATCAGCTCGGTCGCCGGAGGCCAAGTCGACAGCATGCACGTACGGCGGCCCATGCGGGCGCGAGGCGCCCGTCCGGCGTTTCGGAGGGCGCCACCGACTCCAAGGAAGGTTTCCAGAGTTCGTCCGCGAGAGTTATACAAGCTGGATCAGGAAGTTATATAATGTTATATATATATAATATATATATATATTTTAAATATATATATATATACCATTCCTTTACTAAACCTCACTAATTTCCCTTTGATTGGAATCGGAAGGATTTCATCTCATATCGATCGCCAATGCTGGAATGCTTCAAGCACAATCACAGTACTGTGACAGGCGGAACCAGACTTTGAAAGGTGGCTTGAGGAGATGCCCCTGTCAACACTTCTGTTGTTGCAAGTGGTTTGTTTCCGTATGATGCAATTGGTTGAGCCTTGCTTCTAATCCTGGCAGGATCCTGCTACCCAACCCTAAACTGGTGCCATGGGGTGGCTTCAACCATTTGGTCAAGTGATCGAATTGAGGTAGCTCAGTTCTCAGTACCTTCTCAGGCCGTTTTTGTTGGGTGAAAACGTTAAACACCTGCGATCACCGGTGTTTTTCATGTCTTTTTCCTTCACGCCAGGTCTGACAAGAGACCCTCTCCCATCCCGGACCGCCCGGGGTTTGGGGATTTTGGGGAATCGGCTGGCCGATGCTCAGCTCATTCGGAGCCGCTTCGATGCCGCTGAGTAGAGCCTTTCGAAAGCATCTGAGCTAGCACTTCAAGTCTGGAGGAGTTTGGTTTCCCGTCCGTTCCGACTTTTGCCAGACATTCTGACCCAACCAGGGCCAGAATGCAGCTAGATTCGATGGCTGCTCCCAGGTTGTACACCTGCTTTCATCAGCTCCCAGCGCGGGTGTTGCTCGGAAACGTCAGGAGCAGGTGTCGGCGATCCTGCAGAGATATGCCAAGACGCTCAAGGTCTCGGAGGTGAAGAGCTCCTTCCAGAAGATCCTTGACTCAGGCGCCTTTCTTTTTTTTGGCTGGATACTTCCTCATCGCGAGGAGGAGGTTCCTTTGGAGAGGACGAGATGAACATAGATGAACTAGTGTTTTTGATTGTTTTTTGGTTTTGCGGTGGTTTGGGATCCTTGTTCGCTGGTTGATTTGCAGATTAGGTCAATGTAGGGTGGTAGGGTGAGCGTTCAAGTGTGTGTTTGTGGTGAAGAAAGCGGAAGACATTCGGTGTTCATGCTTAAGCTATTTATTTGCAGCCGGTGTTAAGATTGCTTTTACAACATTTCATACTGGTTTCCGCTTCTTAGTTGTGATCGGCTAATTCTTGTATTGCTAAATGATATCCTAATCACTGTTTGTACATCATTGCTTTCTAGAAGGAAGCTGTGTCTGAAATGAACCTTGATGCTGTGGCCCCTGTTTTCTCTTGCCCCAGAGTTACTCTACCGAACTAAAACCCACCCCTTTGCTACGTTCTGTCGTGGAGAACGTATTTTCTTTCCCGAAACAGCCATGAATGGCAGGCACTACTCTCGCGGTGGGGCAATACAACCGGGCACTGGAGGCTGGGCATTTGGGTCCCGTCTGAAGACGAGGTCCGACCCCAGACCGATGGGGAGGTTGCTTGAGGTCAAATCGGCCGAAGAATCGAGAAAGGCCGGCTTGAGCTTCCTCGTGAAGCTCCCAGGTGGCTGGTGGGTCCGCTTGACATAAGGGTCACCTCGACACCACAAAGATGCCAATGGTATCCAATCGTCGGTTGAATGCGGCCGCGGCCAGTGTTCGTTCGACACCATGAACGGAGGACCGGTTCAACTCCGGTGCCCAGAAACAGCACAGAGCGCTTCTCACTTGCGACCATCGGTCCGTATGATCTGCATCGAACGTCTGAAAGGGGATAAAAGGAGCCATGGCTATGCGATTTCCATGTTTTTGGGATGATTTCCATGTGGGAGGTTTTGTTTTGTTTTGCTTTTTCTTCCAAGGGGGAAAGCACATTTGGGATAGATATTCTCGGGTCACGTGCCTTGCTCGGACAGCCGCTCAGAAAGCCTTTGTCCGTTCAATGGTGGGGACGTCGGGTGACTCAAACGATAAGTGGTCACTCTACCGAGTCTCTAGAAGCTTGTTAAACAGGCCTCCTGCAGGTCTCCTGTTTTGCTCGGCCAAAAGATCCAGATCTTCAAACCATGTGTTTGATCCAATGAGCTGCATGAGGAGAAACCTGGAGGCTTATGTTGAAGATGAGAATGAATTCCCTTGACACCTTTCCATCTCGACCTCTTTCCTGCCTTTCACAGCAAGTGTCGCCCCCAACCCGGCACTCTGTCAGTGGCGAGGGCCCTCGTTGGATCCGCCCGCTGGAGGCCATGGCCAAGGCCAAGCGTCCAGGGGATGCCGCGGAGTTTTTGACGTTCATGGAGGCGCAGGCCTGCGGAGTTTCTATTTAGGAGGCATGCGCTTAGAAGCATCGATTTTGGGATTGGTGAAGCGGACATCAATGAACATCGAAGAATGAACCTCACGCCACTATGCCTCACTGCTCAAGACTAGCGGTTCACAGTGCCATTGGATTTCAGAGAATCAGGCACTCGGATTTGCCCACCGTCCATCTGTTTGAATGAATTGCGGAACCGAGATGAACCCAAACAAAGGAACAAAAGGACAAAACGAACGAAGCACATCGAAACGGTCGCATGAATCACATCAATGCCTACAGTACGGGTGGAACACCCCGCAAGTGATTGGACAATCTGCTAGGTCCTAGGTCTGTTTTTTTTTTTTGAGGGTTAGAGCTATCTAAGAGTTACTGTAACAACGAGTATACAAGAATCTCTCTCTCTCTATATATATATATATATGTATTTCTGGGGACATTAGACAGGACAGGAATGATGGAATGAGAATCACTTCTTCTCCTCAGTAAATCTGTGTTGTGTCAAAGAATGTGTGGTGGAGAAACCTGCTTGTTTCTGCAGTTCACCTTGCAGGTTCAGCCGGAAGGGCTTGTACCTCAGCCTACCTTCGCACAGTGGCCTCCAATATGGAGCGTCAGGGCCGCTCTGGTCAACGCCCAGTCAATACTGAGAACTGAACTGAAGAGTCGGCGCTTGGGGAAATCTTCCCCATGAGTTTGACAGCTCTTTTTGATGCTTACCCACATTGACAGCGCTCAAGACTTCACAGTTTCAGCACAAGTGGTGAACTTTTTCAGTGGGGACTCTTCACATCGAGCTTAGTGGCGAGGTTTGTTTGAAAGAACCATGTCTCAGGTTAAAATCGGAAAAAAACAAACGCAAAATCGGAAAGCAAACGCAATGAAGAACCATGCTGGGTTGCATAGTATTGTATGGTCATTGGTTCGGGTCTTTGCCCGCTGTAATTCTTTGTCCGGTGACATGGAGAGGTTTAGAGGAGGCTGATCATCCGCAGCCTTTTCGATTCAATTCCTCCAAGAAAGCACACTAGCACTACTTCTCCATCATGGTTTCCTGGCGGCAACAGACTGTGGTCTTTGGAAGCCGAAGAGATTGTGGGATCGTAGTCCCGGGCAAAGCACACTGGGCGGACTCTTTGTTTGGAGTGCACTCCATGGGTGCGACAAGCACCCCTGCTTTCGACCAGTGAACCGTTTGGTGGTCTTGCGTGTCTTCCGTACTGCCAAAGAAGATATGGAAATACGTGGCCAATGCAGTAATTGGTTATTCCACTGGTCCCCGTGGGTTGCTTGCTGGATTTTATTGCAGAAGAATTGCCTAAAGGATCCTGTAGGAACAATTGTAAGGGCGACGGGGGGGACCATAGATCACGTTGCTTGTTCAATTCTAGGTTGGTTTTCGATGCAGAGCACATCAAGCTGGGACAGAAGTCAAAAACATGAAGGATTGGAGAACAGTCCCTTTTCCAAAGAATGATCAACTGGAAGATACTTTTGCGCGATGGATCATGTTGCTTGCTCAATTCTAGTTTGGTTGATGGACCTAAAGAAGCAACCTTGGAAAAACATGAAGGACAACACCTAGTGTTGAACCCCAGAGGTTTGAACACCCAGGCAAGCATGACCACCCCAACGTTCATGGACAAACATGGGCTTGTTTTCCAGGGCCAGCACAGCAAGGCCAGAAATGATTCCAGTGGCATTTTGCCCAGCACCCTACCCAAGAAGAGGCAGAAGACCCAAAGCTGAGGCCAGGAGCAGGGAGAAGTAGAAAGAGCAAGCCCGAAACAAAGTACCCCAGGGATTTGAACACCAAAGGTTTGCACCAAGCAAATTCAACCCCATTCAAGGTCACGTAGATACAGAAGCATACAAAAGCACCGAAAAAGGTCAACAACGCGTAGCAACCCTTGAAGCATATTGAAACATATCCTGAACGTAGCCCTTTGGTTTTGGAGAAGCTTGGATTCTAGCCAAATCTTAAAAGCAATGTCAGGTAGATGCCAAATAGATACCAAAAAAATAACAAACCAAATCAACGATGATCACAGTTCTCGCGTAAGTTTTTCGTACATCTAGGGAAAGCTCATTCCAACAACTCAACCACGTCAGGAATACTGTATTTGCTTTGTATTTGCGTGGAAGCTATGCAGAACAGTAAACACTATTCCAGGTCCCCTAGTCACATGAGGCATAGGAAAAAGATGGTCCGAGCCGCGCAGCGTCGCAAAAATACGAGTCGTTTCTGGCATTTCTGACCGAAGAGCACAGAAAAGAGCACAGACATGTGCGAGGAACGTTTGAAGCAAAGTCTGAACAAAACATCACACAGAAAAGAAACAACTGGCCCTGGCCCTGGCCCCCTCCTGGCTCCTGATTCACTTCGCAAAGCACACGCCCAGTTTCCACGACCTATCTTGGCACTGGCGCTCGCTCTGGCGACACGAGCCGAACCCACGTTGGATCAGGACCCGAGGAGTCCGAGGATCGAGGAATCGATTCCTTCGGAGGGCGCTTCGATTCGATTCCTTCGGAAGGTCGGTTTTCAAGCGACCGTTCCGGAAGGTGTTAAGGTGTTCATGTTCTTTTCAGGGTGAGCTGCACAGGACATGGTGAATGCTTTTCATGGTCAAGGTATGCTACACCCCCAAAAAGTGCGCCATGCTGTAATTAGGTGAGGAGTTGTCTGGGACTCTAATGACTCTTATATAGTCCCATGCCCACTGGAGCACTGATGCAGGATGATGAGTGCCTGGCCAACGGTGACTGCAGCCTCTCAGCGCTCCAGCGTCGAGCCATGCAGCACGGGGCCCAGCGTGACCGTGCGCACGGGACTGCTTAACCAATTGACTGAGCACATCTTCAATGAGCTTCAGGATGCTTCAGGCATGGCTGATTCCATTTGTTCAAGAAAATGAGAAGCCATCCTAGATTTTAGACATGTTTCTAACAAATCAACATGGAGCTGGGAATCGTCGGGTCAAGCTCCTAATCAGGATTGATTAGTCGCGTTTCATGGGCGTATCACGCAGTGCTTCGCATGTTAATGGTTTTGGTGCGGTTTCCAGTGATGAATGATCTTCAGTTCATTTCGTGCCTCCATTTTGTATATTATATACAATATTATACAATTGCTTTGCTATTCAGTTCCCTTCTAGTACAACAGGTCACAACTTGGCTTCCACCTCCTTCTACAAGGGTGAAGGAGCAGGGATTTGCAAGTCCGCATGAGTGTGGTCACATGTCCTTGATGAACATGGCAATATGGTAATACAATGGTCAGGAAAAGGGGTGCAATTTTTACCCACCATTTCTGAAGGAAATCTGTTATGTTTGTGGAGACCTCAGAAAAGTCTTCTTTTGAGGCTTCTTGTGACAGACATTGACGTGGGGGTGTGCAAGCTTGCTTCTAAGTTCTATGTATCAATTGTGTGTGTACACAATATTATATATATATGTTATAATACACAGACACAAATCTCATCAGGGCTGGGTCTGCCAGGGTTAGGGACTGCAGCAACCGGCTTCAAAGCAAATTGGGGGTCCACTTTTTCAAACCTTTTGGTGCTACTGGGCAGTCCTGTACACCCTGCCACGGCGAGCTGTGGGTGCTTGTGGATGAATCCCCGTTTCTGTTTGCTCTTGGACCGGCTCTTGAGCTGAGTCTGCCAAGGGCAAGAGCTGAGTCGAAAGATGCCTTTGACCCCAATTTTGACATTCCGAGCATTGGAGATGCTTGGGCGTCATCAGGCGTGGGCCTGGTAGATCCCCTACTGTATGTAACCCATGAAATCGTTCAACACCTGCACGGTGCGAAAAGATGTTTGTACTCCTTTATCGTTTACAGTGGCCAGGGGCGGCCACCTCAGAGGTGTGTGTTGGTTCTTTTTAAAAGGAAGTCCATAGCTTGGAGAACGTGATCCACACTTGCATCCGACCTTCAAAGAATGGGAATCCTGCAGGTTGCGGGAGGCTTTGGTTTCAACCAAACTAGAATCATGGGATCTTTCACTTTTGCATTTGGCCACACAACTTGTCACACAACCACTTTGCAGGTTTGAAAGGCGGACTGGCACGCGGCAGCTGGTAAATCCTGTTAAATCGTGTTCAATCATGTTCTTTCTTCAGTTTAAGCCTTGGATTACCACACACTAAGGACTTGCCCTCGGAAGATGAAATGGACAACATGCCAGAGGCGGGGACTGGACACGTACGTTGACAACGGTGACAACAGCTGCTTCTGCATCCAGCCTCCAGCTGAAAAGCCCAGAGAACAAGATTAACATCCACGGATGGTCTTGATATTTTGCAGAACGAAGTTCCTAAGGTCCTGTATACTCGCAAAGTTTGTAGGCTCTTGACGTCTATTTCCAGATTTGTCTCTCACTGGTGAACAGGCTCTTGGAAACCACAGGCAGAACATAACTGGCAATAATTCCGAAGATACAATTCTATATATATATATATAATAACACATTTTCACGCTCAGGATGAAGGCCCTGAAGATGACGAGCAGGATGAAGAGGCAGAAGACCATGAAGAGCATGCAGAGGAAGGCAAAGGAGACGAGGAGAAGTAACTCTCCTTTGTTTATGAGGAACATGCCACACAAGCACGACAAGGAACACATAGAAATACAGTCACATTTGTTTGGAACATTTTCTGTATGAAGCTAAGATTCCAGCACTTGGAGATGACTTGCACTTGGCTCAATCATTGGCTGTAGGTGTCAATTGGAATCTAAGTGATTCAAAGAAAGAGATGGGATTGTTTTAATAAGAACATTTCGGGTGCCTTTGATTATAGATGTATCTAGTTATTGTGATCAGAATCTTCAGGGAAAGCGGCTATAATTGCATTCAGGACATATTTTTCGTGGTTGCCAAGTTTACCAGCTTAGTACGGTAGACCTTGTAGGTCTTGTTTCGATAGGTCTTGATAGGTGGGCCGCGAGGGTCGTGCCGATGATATTCGTTGCAGGACAAAGAGCCCAACCAACCATACACCGGGCCGTGCCTCGGAGCAATTCGTACGGCCGGCCGGCGAGGGGCAATGAGGGGCGGCCGTCATGAGCCCAATTCGATATAGTTCGATCAAAAAGCGTTTTATGTGGAATGGTTGCAATTCTGCAAGCATTGCCTTTCAAGATCCACATTTGAACACCCATATGAAAACCCATATGATCCACATTTTGGTTGAACATCATCCATGTGAAAAGCGTGTTCCTCCAGGTCCTTGACCAGGTTCCTCCACCAGGTCCACCCGCACCCGGTCCACCGGTCGGGCAGCGCATGGTGAAGACGAACCACGGCAAGCCTCAAAGCGCGCAAGACATGGATTCTGCCTGGGTGTTTGAGGTGTATGCCACATGCCCCCCACACACCTTTGGGACGGAAGAGTGGGAAGACCAGCAGGCCATGTTTCTGGCAAATTGGACTCAAGACTCAATACTCAATACTTCAATCGATTCGACGGGCGACATTAACTACTTGCATCAAGGCTTCTTTACAAAGTGTTTGTTTGATAGAGAGAGAGAGAGAGAGTATGATGCTCCATGCTACTGGGATATGTTCCTAGATTATCCCCAGTGATTGTGGGCTTATAAAATGCAGATCCTTTTTCTTTACAAAATGCAAATTCCAAGACACATTTTATACACATTAGTTGTTTTTTGTTTTTTAAGGATAACTACATAAGATCTGGAGTATCGTCATTTTATAAATTTACTAACTTGGACACTGAATGACAGTAATAGAGGGCAGGTGAACCCCGTAATCTCATTTTATAAACATTAACTTGTCGAGTTGTCAGAGGATGGTCAGAACATGATTTCTCATTTTATAAGGATCATGTTCTGGACTGTCTAAAAAAGTATTGATTTTTCATATTGTTCTAAACAACCTAAATTTTCAGAAATGCCCTCAAAACTTTTCAACAATCAAGGGAAGACAGGAACTGAAGGAATATGACCAGGAAAATAACTAAGAATTAAAAATTAACTAGCTACTTTTTGTGCACTTTTTCTCCTCTCCCCCTGTCGGAACTGTCTCTCGGCATTCTCGGCCCCATCTCTCGGCACCCGGACCGCCGTGTAGGACCGGCAGCGAAGGAGTGATGAGTGACCGGTCACCCACGACTTCGGCCCCGTTACTTGGAGTCCTGAAGGAACGGACCGACGAAACCAACTTCAGTTTGAAACGTGTAAGCCAATCTTCGAAGACGTTCGAGTCGACAAAGGCATGCGCAAATGAGGCTTTGCGTTTGAAACCCATTTTCAATATAGCCTCAATCACTTCCTCACATAAGCCCTCTTCTCCCATGGCTTTGCTCCACTCGCAAGCCATCACCGGCAAAGCAAAAACAAGTCAAGCTGTATATCAACTAAGCGCAGCAATAGCAACTTCTAGCTTTCTCAAGCATAGAGATTTGTATGCAAAAAAAGTGCACAAAAAGTAGCTAGTTAATTTTTAATTCTTAGTTATTTTCCTGGTCATATTCCTTCAGTTCCTGTCTTCCCCTGATTGTTGAAAAGTTTTGAAAAGTGGGTTCAAATTTAGTTGTTGATTATTGAAAATATAAATTTTCATAATCTGAAAATTCAGAATCTGAATCATTACTAAAGAATAACTATTTCAGAATCTTGAGATCTTGACATGACGAATTTTCATTTCATAAAGTATCCGGATTTGGCTTCTTACGGACATTTCCCATAAGCAATTCGCATTTTATAAAGTGTTTCTTCCTGGATGTCGTTTCTATCTTAACCTATCACAACCTGTGCTGGTCATTTTATAAACTAGTTGGTTTTTTAATGTTTTTTACTAAAAAAAGAAACTATCCCACACATTTTATAAACCTACAAAGTTTATAAAATGCAAAATCAGCGCGCCTATGAACAATCACGGGGAATCCTAGATTGTGATTCTCAATGAGAGGAGAGCCTCCAAGACCCTCTCACTTTGCACGAGAGACATGCCTCAGCTGCCCTTCGCCATCGCTTAGGACAATGGCTCCTTTGCCAGCCAACCCTCCAACGCCAATTCCTCCAACCGTTCAGAACCTTGGCAATTTTGGAGGAACTCTGGTGCTCAGTGGTTCCAAGAGCTGGGTTAGTCATGGTTAGTCCGGACGTGCTCTTTACGCTCCGGAGTGCTCACATTACTTCAAATACAATCAGCTAGGAACTTGACCCCTTCTTCATTCTGGAAAGGTCAATTGAACAACACAGCTGGAGACCTGGAGGACCCCAGATTTGGCAATTGTTTTTTGCAACTGCGCGGGTTTCTGACCATGCCTGGACACTGATTCTGACCATGCGTGGACCGCCGGGGATTGAAACGCTCAGAAAATCGAAGACTTGGACTTGGAGAGTTCCTTGTAATAAATAGGGATTGGGGAGTGTTCTGTGACCTTATGGTTGAGCTCAACTATACTCACATGTCCTATCTTGATATATGTTGGGTACCACCCCACGCTTGTAACAGTGGAACTTGGAACACCTTTGGTCACGGGCAGTGGCAGGCCCTAATCTTAACCCTAATCATCCGCTGCCGGATCAGGGGATCCAAATCACAGAAGTTGAGGGGTTGACATGGGAGGCTTCGACGTTCGGGCGAAGAATGCTAAAGGGTCGAATGGCAGCCATGCGAAATCAACAGACCGTTTGCTTACCAGAAAAATGCATAACACATTGTGATCCAGTACTGTATGCTGCTCAAGAAAAACACGTGTGCATCGGGTGATACGAAGGCATGCTGCTCCTTAGACCTGTGTTTGATTCGTCAGTCAGTCTTCATTTGTTCGGGGTTATTCAACTTTATTCAGCCACTGTGCTGGTGTTCAACATACGTGATGCCTTTATAAGTTGCTAGTTTGGACAGCTTGGGCAGAGTTCCAATGCTGACAACATGGCAAGCATTATCTGGTTTGTGCCGCCACTGGCCCACGACATTGCGATACTTTGCAAATCAGTCGTTTGAACAACTAAGTCGGTTGCTGGCAGGTGAGCTCGTATGGCAGACTTTGCACCAAAGGAGTCGTTTCAATGGGGTAGGAGTCCATTGTAGTGGCTAAACATGCGCGTTAGCATGTTTGGAGAGTCGTTCAAGGTTCATCGCTTGGTCAAAATCATGTTTCACGGACTTCCCCAATCTGAATTCTGGCAAGTGCATCACGTGGATGGTAACCGAGCCAACAATCGCTTGGACAACCTGGAGTATGTATCACCCAGCCAAAACATGCGACACTCATTCTCCAATCCTTCAAGGCGCAGCAGTGGACCTGCACAGTCCAAGTGTGTGCAGTGGAGACCCGTGGGGTCCACGAGCTGGACAAGAAGCCCTTCTGTCACAGCTGCAGCCCAACAGCTTGGGATCGAGAAAGGGACATTGTCGAGGTATTGCCGCAAGAAGTCTGCAGCCAAAGGCTACGAGTTTAGGTATCAAAATGCCAGCGAACTTGATTTGCCTGGAGAAGAATGGCGACTGATGGTCGATCCCAGGTCAGGTGCACAAGTGTCAGGAAGGATGGTCAGTTCTTTTGGGCGCATAACGTCTCGGACTGGATTGATCAGCAGAGGGTGTCAAACAAGCAGCGGATACTATTCAACAGCATTGATATTCAATGCACACTGCCGGAGTGTGCTTGTCCATCGCCTGGTGGCTTTTGCTTTTCTTGGATCACCGCCATCTGATCATGAAAGCTTTGTGAACCACAAAGACTTGGACAAAGGCAACAATGCTGCACACAATCTCGAGTGGGTCTCGCCGGCAGAAAACCTCACTCACTTTTATGCAACTTCCACCCTTGGCCCTAGGACCACTGCAAAGCCTGTCTGGAGCCGGCCTCATGAAACCATTGAGGGGTGGAGGTGGCATCCATCCTTTACAAGCGCTGCACATCAACTTGGTCTTTGCAGACACAACATTTCTCGATGTGCCCGGGGTCTGCAGCAGCAAACCAGTGGATATGAGTTCCATCTCGCAGGCGCACAGGAGAAAGTGCCTTCTCTCCCGGGCGAACAGTGGCAAGTAATTGACATTAGCTTGCTCCGAAGAGACAAAGAAATTCGCGGACTCTGTTGACACGTGCAAGTCTGGCCCAGAGCTATGGACCGAAGTTCTCGAGGTTCCCCGTGCAAGGGGAATCCTTTGCCATGTGCATTGTTGGGCAACAAAATGAGAGTAACATAGAGTAACATGCTTTAACACAAAACATGTTTTGAGGAGCATAATTTTATCGTTTTCTTTTTTTTTCACGGACATTGGTTGTTGAGCCTCCGGGATTCATTGTTGTCCTCGATTGTCGATGACACCGCTGAATCTGAAGAATCACCTTGCTGTGGTGGAATCACTTGCAAGGGTGGCAGGGTGGCCCCCAACATAGCACTGAATTTCTTATATTATACTATACGCAATTTCACGTATATATATATATGTAACATGTATATACACGGGCGTGTGCATGTATGTATATATATATAATATATGTATATGAATGTATACTTAAACACATACACATATTTTTACAGCAAGAACGTCACATCAATGAAACTCTGAGGGGATTTGCTACTGGACAGGTCATGGCAATGCTTCGCAGAACTAGCGATGCCAGCTAGCAAGCTTTAGCGAACTTTTGGAAGTGCCCAAATTGTTGTGATTATGTGAGGACCACGTCCAAAGTTACAGTCAACTTTGTGAGTTGTTATTTTGGGATCCACTTTCCTGCGGACCGGCGATATCAGCACCAGACCAGAGGTCGGTGAGTCCCATCGTCGTCCGTGGGAACTTCCTCTATGACTCGGCGGCCTGGCAATAACCGGGTCCTCCACAGGGTGGGTCTAGGATTTGTCCTCCCCCCGCGCAAAAAAGGAACTCCATCTTCCATGGACTCCATGATGAACAGACATTCGCTGCATGATTGACAGAAAATCACACTAGATTGACCCAGATACATTCACGCCAGCATGCCAGGATCCTCCGTGATAGTGCTGTTTGGTTTCTTTTCCTCCAGCACTTTGAGAGTATGCGCATACTCTTGGTTGAAGAAACATGAGTTTGTTCCATTTCCTCATGTGAATCTGTGCAACCTGAGGGTCTGACTGATTTGACATGAGCTATATTCAGACCTATGTGATCCTATGTGAATATCGAGCCCAGTCACCAGTCAGTGGTTCCAAAGACTAAAACCTTGGTTCCTCCGAACAGTGCGGACGAAGTGATCCACTGGGAAGATCTGGGAAGTCTGTTTGGACTGCTTTGGGGTGCTCCACCAACAAGAAGTTGAGATGTCTTGACTCATGACGTGGTCTGCTTACCGGAGAAACATCTCCGTGTCGTGTTTGCGATCCTCCGCAGACCGCTTGCGGGGTCCACATCTTTCGTTTTTTTCTCATGTTTCCATGTTAGGATGGCTTCTTCAGGGATACCTTTTTTCCATTTTGAGATTTTGTTGAGCTGTTGCCACTCACTTTGCTACATCCAAGACAGGATGAGTCGCGAAAAAGTGCGACCTATCCGGTTCCGACACTCTGATGCTTCTGGCTGATCATGCTCAAGACAGCTTGCCAACAATATCTATTACTGAGCTGGCCTCATGCATGCGCAAAGATTTCAGCAAAAGCAGTCGCACCATTAAAGGTTCAGAGAAGAGTTGTATTACTGTACGTGTCTCAAGAGAACAGTCGCAGGTTGTGTCTCAAGGTGCCATCCAGACTTGAAAAGAACTCTGATAGCAGATCGATATTGATCGATTGTTTGATGAATTAAACAACGGTGCCCAAGACTCGACCTGGAGCGTTGCCGAACGGCAAGATATTTGTGCGACAAGGCCCAAGGGACACAAAAGGACACACAAAACCCACAGGAGTGATGTTGCGCCTCTTGACGTATCACTTCTGAATCCATCATAGGTGCTTCAAAGATCTTCAAATAGTATATATATACACTATGTATATATACAGCATACAGCATTACAGCATACATATCTTTCATGTACATACTTATGTGCTAATGCCGAGAACAAGGGTGACAAGGTGGGCAAAAGGCCAGGAGCCACGTGCCAACTCTGTGGGGCTCGCGGGACACCTTTGCCAGGCATGATGGGATGGCCAAGTCTTATCTTCTTGCTGGCGCCCCTGGCGTACCTTGAAATCGGGAGATGTGGCCTTTGCTCGGAGGAATGACCAGTTTGGCTTGGAGTCATCATTTACCACGTGTTCGTTGTGAGTTGGACCAATAGGAGGTGGTCTGACCGGTGTGACCGGTGTCGTGGTGCTGATTTTCGGGTCAATGTGGTGTAAACTGTGTATCTGATAATTACAAGCTTCTTGTTTCTACTAGCTTCTTGTTACTATTAGTAAGGCCCTTGCTCCTAGTAGCGATGCCCTTTGCTACTGGTAGCGTCCTTGCTCCTGTATCTGAAAAGTGCCGCACATCCAAGTGCAACTTGTAGAAAAGGGCCCATCGTGCACAGGTGGTTTATTATTTTCCCAAACAGTTTACTGTCGGGGTTCTATCTTAAAAAGAAAAGAGCTGGTCACACTCACTGGCCGCGCCCCTGAACTCTGTGGCTGGGCTCTGTGGCTGGGCCTTGTCCTCCTCTTGTCCTCCTCTTGGCCGCGCCCCTGAACTGTCAACTCTGTGGCTGGGCTCTGTGGCTGGGCCTTGCCCTGCTCTTGTCCTCCTCTTGGCCGCGCCCCTGAACTCTGTCAACTCTGTGGCTGGGCTCTGTGGCTGGGCCTTGTCCTCCTCTTGTCCTCCTCTTGGCCGCGCCTCTGAACTCTGTCAACTCTGTGGCTGGGCTCTGTGGCTGGGCCTTGTCCTCCTCTTGTCCTCCTCTTGGCCGCGCCCCTCAACTCTGTCAACTCTGTGGCTGGGCCTTGTCCTCCTGTTTTCCTCCTCTTGGCCGTGTCCTCCTCTTGGCCGCGCCCCTGAACTCTGTCAATTCTATGGCTGGGCCTTGTCTTCCTCTTGTCCTCCTCTTGGCCGCGCCCCTGAACTCATTGTCAACTCTGTGGCTGGGCTTTGTGGGCTCTGTGGCTGGGCCCTCCTCTTGTCCTCCTCTTGGCCGCGCCGGGCTCTGTGTCCAGACTTGCCCTCGCTGGGCTCTGTGACCAGGCCTTGTCCTCCTCTTGGCCGCCCCCCTGAACTCTGTCAACTCTGTGGCTGGGCTGTGTGGCTGGGCCTTGTCCTCCTCTTGGCCGCGCCCCCTGGACTCTGTCAACTCTGTCGCTGGGCTGTGTGGCTGGGCTCTGTGGCGCGCGGACGCGCGCGCTGACGCGCTCAGAGCGCGCTCTGCAGAGAGAAAGACAGAAAGAGAAGCTAAAAAAAGAGAGAAGAGAGAGAGATAGAGAGAGAGAGAGAGAGATAGAGAGAGAGAGAGACAGCAGGGCGAGCCCGCCGCGCGTGCTCGTGTGCTTTGGACGGCGCGCTCTGGCGCGCTCTGAAATACGCTCCAGAAAGGCGCGCTCGCAGCGCGCTCTGCAGAGAGAAAGACAGAGAAAGAGAAACTTAAAGAGAAAGAGGGAGAGAGAGAGAGAGCGAGAGAGAGAAAGAAAGAAAGAGAGCAGGGCGAGCGCGCGCGCGCTCGTGTGCTATGGACGGCGCGCATACGCTCCAGAAAGGCGCGCTTACAGCGCACTCTGCAGAGAGAAAGACAGAGAAAGAGAAACTTAAAGAGAAAGAGAGAGAGAGAAAGACAGCAGGGCGAGCGCGCCCACGCTCGTGTTCTATGGACGGCCCGCTCACGCTCCAGAAAGGCGCGCTCAGAGCGCGCTGAGCAGAGAGAAAGACAGAGAAAGAAACATTTAAAGAGAATGAGCGAGAGAGAGAGAGAGAGAGAGAAAGAAAGAAAGCAAGAAGGAAAGAAAGAATGGACGGCTTGCTGGGCTCTGATAATCCTCTTGGCCTCTGTGCTGGGCTCTGTGGCTGGGCCTTGTCCTTTTCTTGTCCTCCTCTTGTCCTTGTCGTGGCCGCGCCCCTGAACTCTGTGGCCCGGCTCTGTGTCCGGGTCTTGTCCTCCTCTTGTCCTTGTCTTGGCCGCGCCCCCTGAACTCTGTGGCTGGTCTCTGTGGCCCGGCTTACTGGAGAGGAGTGTGGCCGAACAAATAGCGATGTCAATGCCGACAAAAATTCATTGATGAAGCAGTTTGCTCTTGGGGTGAAAGTAGGGCGTACCAAGAAATCGATTTTTGACTAATATTGGGCTAAAAGAATCGTTTTGAAGCTGTTTGGGGTCTATGCTTGTATAATATTTAGTAGGCCCCCTTTGCAGTGACTCGAGGTCAGTGTGTATCCTAAACTGAGAATGACAGGGCAAGTGTGAAAGAAAAGACATGCAACTCAAAATTTATCCACTGGAAAAATTACACCACCCACCACTATGAAGAAACCATCAACACGAGCGATGTGAGTTGGTGAGTGTTCACTGGCATTCCATTTTGATGATGAGATTCGATACGTTTCTGGAGCACGATTCACGGCCTTTTTGTCACAACCCAAATACCGGATCCTTTTGCCAACTTCCTGGTGACCTGGCATTGCTCCCGCCATGTTGAGTGATGCTGAGGGCGTGTCAGGAGGAATATGGTATCTCGGTCCGCAGTGGTCCATGATCGCTCAAATCGTTCATGCATGGGGTTGAGGATTGGACCCACTTGTGTTTTCTTAGGCAGCCAGGACTCAAACCCACCACAAAAACCATGGTTCCGAACCATTTTAGAGCAATGACTCCTCACCTTCCCGAGTCTGGACATATCTTTTTTGGAGGGTCGATTCTATCAGGTTGAGCTGATGGGACGACATCGCGGGCGGGTTCGACAGACGAAAACGGCAAGATTTGGCATGTCCGGGGGGTTCCGGGACCGATCCCAACATCTTTCTGGGCCCATGGGGATGGGGATGCGATGATGGGAAGATGTTCGATATGCAGGGACCAATCCGTGCACCGTGCGGACCTTTGCATGTCAACTCTCTCAGGTTTTGCCAATCCTCTTAAACCCATTGGAGACAGTGCGGAGAAGGCCCCGCGTTGTCCACGTGGCCACGAGATGCGCTGATGTGTAAGCAAGCAGACGGTCAAAAACACTTCGTGTCCAATCGTTTTTCCCGAGCTTTGATTTCAAGAGCATGTCGTGCACTAAGCACTTCTTATAAATTCAATTTCTGCTGATTTGTGCGAGCTTTGTTTCTTCAGGCTTTCTACTTTCAACCATTTTGGTGTCCATGGCTGCTGGCCCCTATATTTACGCAGACCGTAGAGGAAATACTGTAAGATGAAATAGACGTTGCACGAAGAAGGGGGCCTACGGCTACTGTAGAAAAACGATATCCGGCAATGGTTGGAAGGTCTCCTGAGTGGAATGGCATCACTCCCCACGTGCTGATCTCTCTATTTCGAGACACACCATACCCATTGACCCATTGCTTGGCAACGCCAAACACCCAACGCCATTCGCGCACCAAGAAGGGGCTGCCGGCTGCGAGGCCGTAGAAGCACCTGGACAAGGGGTCACTGCTTCTGGGCCACCTGGTTTGAAGAGCCCGGTATTCGATGGCCTCATTGTGTGGAGATTTGAAGAGTGTAAAGAGCTATTTCGGGCAAAAGAGGCAGAATAGTCCGCCGGACGTACTTTTTGAGGATAAAGAAGCAAAGATAAGCGACATCAACCAGTTTTGTTTGAAGAGGCAAAGCATTGTACGCTTCTATTTTCAATCACATTTGACTGGATATACCGCACAAACTATATTGTATGTGAGACGTAAATATATGTATGTGATCCGACGCGCTGGCTTTGTGAAGCCATGCCATCGATTCAAGGGTTCACAGCCTCGTGGTCTTCACAGTCTTCGACGACTACCCTTATGCGTGCAAATGCGTGACCCGGCGACTGTTTAGTTTCGATGGAAACAGTCCAGCATCTCCCCATTTCCCCATACCCAGTGTAGATTGAACATATTCGCTCACACTGTTTGGCTTAGACATTGTTGGAGACCTAAGCAAAGGAACATCTATCTATCTTAAGAGTGACTTTTTTCTATCTACCTACCTACCTACCTACTTACCTACCTAATCTTTCTATTTCAATTTCTATTCCTATTTCATTGACCGACACCATAGTCCTCAACCAGCGTCCTTCCCGGCGACACCCGCAAAACGTGAGCCCAGCAAAGCCCCGATACGTGCGGTGCTCGGAGGTCTCGAGGACTCCGGACTCGCTCGTGGGGTACTGCAAGTTCCCTGGATGCACTTGGGAGACGTGGAACTTGAGAGCACAGGAAACGACGACTTGTGACATGTCTTCTTTTCTTGTGAGCCCCCCAAAAAAAGAGCGAGCCCCTACTGAAAGTAGAATGGACTGCAGTTAAGTGGTTTGATTTGAACCATTGTTTAGCAATCATATTGTGCACGTATCATCTACACATTTTCTTTGGTGCTTGTGCATCTCCAATCTGAGCAAAGGTTCGTTATGGGTCTTGAATGGAGTCTCAAAAATCTAATTCTTTTGTCGCTGGCATTTCAGACAGATCCGACATGGGGACTGAGGAATGACTACAACACAAATTGCTACATGCCGAATGCAGGCCAGGTCGCATTCCGAAATCGACTGCTTCGGATATGACAAGGGTGTCTCTATATGAGCAACCATCAAACCCCGCCGATGACAAATTTAGCACTCCTGAAACACATTCAAAGGCTGCAACCATTTCAAAACACTATTCAGCCGCGTTAGGAGTTCAAAGAGGAGGAGGCCCAAAAGGTCATTGCTTGACTTGTCTATGCTTGCCCACACTTGGAATCATCAAACTTCTGGAGACATGTGCAAGTCGGGTGGATTTTTGATGCATTTTGTGGCCAAAGTGTGCTGAAGCTCCGATGTGACTCCAATACTCTTGGAGAGCCTCGCTCAGGACTTGGTTCCAGAGCCTCACTCTTGACGTTTCTGGGCCTCGTTTCTGGGCGCACAGAAGAACGGAGGTACACACACGGAAGAAGGTACAGAAATCGCATTTGCATCATCTGTCGGAGATGTACAAGGTCCATGAGGTTGGAGGTATTCAGCATCATGATGTGGTTATGTTGTGGACAGATTGGCAGATTGGCCTGGTGAAAAGGACCAGCGTGGTGTGTCATGAATGCGCTGTGTGGGTTGACCAAGATAAACATGTCCAGACAGCCTGCAGAAGTTTGTGTGGGATTTTGTGAGGTGCTCCTTGGGTTTGGATCAGTTTAGACCGCAAAAATAATACTGTGAGAACTGCATTCCTGACAGCCACAACGACTGGCCGCCATTCCTAGGCAGTGGCGGTGGCAGGATCATGATGGCCAAGGCAGCTACAGGGGGTTTCTGCATACTGTTGCATGCTTGCCAGAAGGAGTTTTGATATCAACTTCCAGGCAGTTGACAGATGTGCCTACCCCGCCCGCCTGACCTCCGCCTACCCGCCCCCCGCCTGACCTCCGCTGTCCGCAGAGGTCGATCGAGTTGTCGTCGGCAGGTGAAGGGGCCTGAGAAGCAGACTGCTGTCAGTCAGCAGAGAGAGGCAACAGACGCATGGCATGGCCATTTCACGAGAAATGTATCAGCTGAGCTACTTTCAAGGTCCATTTGCTCAGAAGTTCGATATGATTCAGGAGATCTGAGCTAGTGGAACACGACATGGCGAACTAACAGAGGGTCATTGAGTCATCGAGACTGCCTTTTATTTATCCGAGGACTTGGACTCTGTCCATTGGGCCTCTTGAGGCCCCCCTTCCTCCAAGAGGATGTGCAGAGGACGATCTTCCACCCGTCCAAGCTTTTCAGGGTGGCCCCGATCAACCCCACGGCGTGACAGTGGTACAAAACTCATCAAAACTCTTGATCCATGCAAACAAGGAAGGCAAGGTGTGTGGAGATGCCAGGTGCAAACATGTTGCTTTCCTTTTTCACCCCTTTTCCTGTGATTTCAGAGTGTCTGATGTGTTAGGTATCGCACGGTGGCCGCCCTGTCTTGGCCGGTTTTTGCCTTCGAGTAGTTGAGAACCGCAGCCAGAGTGAAAGAAAGGTGTAGGCGGACTCCGTGCAGCTTCGTGCGGTTCGTTTCGGCAGTGACACCTGGGGGAGGCTTCCAGGTGTTTGCACTTGTATCCAGTTGTTAGGAATGTGATGGTTTCTCCTAGATTCTCCACCTTGGGAACAGATGGACACTTGTGCGGCGGCATTTATTTGTTAATTACTAGACTCGTCTAAACTGAAATACACTATCTATTATGTGGGGTCCTATCTCGTTTAGACAGCTTTAGCCATATGTGACAGTATCGCGTTCAGACTACTTTAGTAGCAAATGACATGTCATCGCTGTCATTAAGAAGAAGTCTCGTTTATGTGGGGGCCCTCTCTCGTGCACCAGCGAATACTGGTGTTGGACAGACAAATATAGCATGCTCTGTAGACTAATTACTTTAGTCCAGACCAAATAAAGGTGGTTGTTCATTTGAGGCCTACAATTACAAAATAAATTGGACAAGCCCGAGCTCTACCTTGATCACATGTTTGAGGTTCTGGCGGTTCAAATCACTCTCATTAGGGAAATCCTCTACAAAGAGTGAAAAGCAATGAAATGCATCATAACCAACAACATGACGCTGCTTTTCCTCAAACAAGTCTAGTACATGCTCATACATGGGTCGAACAAATTCCAAGTAGACTTTCCACCCAGCAGCTGCATAGGTGCCACACCCCCCCCCCCGATCCCCCCCCGGAGAACGGTTCATGCGAACATCAGAACCCATAAGACGAGCGGCTGAGAGACGTTGCGAGTCTTGCGAGGTGACTGGAGATCGATTCTTTGCCAAGGGCGTGGCCTACAATCCCCGCAATGAGCCTTGGGGTCCGCTGCGTTGGAGTTGTTTTTTTCCAACTTTTTTCCTTGGTGTTTTGGTCGGTCGATTGGTTAAGTGATCTTTCATTTGTATGGGTCAAGTTGTTTTGGTCTATTGTTTGATTTTGATGCTCGTCAGGCATTCGTGAGGTTATATCAGGTTTATGTACTTGTTGGTCATGTTATGTTATGTTTCTTTTTGTTTGGTTGATTGTGTCCGTGTTGCTGGCCTTTTGGTGGGCTGGCAGGTTCGAACGTCTCAAATGGGTGAGGCGCTTTGGGATGCGAGGTCGCACCCGATGGGTCGGTGTGGCATGCAGATGGGATAGCAAGACTTCCACTAAAAGCTTCCAAGCCAATCATAGAAATATCCAAGAAATCCACCATGAGCCAACCAAAAAGAAGACTGAGTTTCCTTTTGGTTGCCTGTTGCAGTTGCCCCATGTTGCATGTGAATCTTGCGACCTTTTGTTCGGGAAAAGGTCGTCGGCGACTGGACCAAAGTGGCAGAAAAGATCTCAGCGTGTTGAGTTCCGAGGAACACTATGACAAGTCCTTCGGCCCCAGCGTGAAGGTGCGGAAGCGATCGGCAGATGGCTTTTCCGCATAGCTTGAGAATGGTGACATCGGGTTTAGTTCATCGGCCATCTGGTTCCAGTTGATCGGCCGTGACTAGATGGTGAGACATTCATATTCATTAAGATTTATTCACATTAAGAAGCTTCTAGGTTGGAGGCCATCGCTACTAGTAGCAAGGACGCTACTAGTATGTCCGCCTGTGAAGTCCTAACTTCAGAAGCTTCGTCACACCGGGACCCTCACGAAACCGCCCACAGACGGCTGAGTCCTTGACAGCCCGTGACACGACGAAAAGCTGTTTCTTTCGCTCCCTTCGTCAGGTGGAAGGCTGGGTGGAGACTGGGCGCAAATAAACGTGACTTTTGACCGTTTTATTTTGACGTTTTTTTCGACCTGGCCATGCGACTGAGCTTCCAATCGGTACTTTTGAGGGCTAGTCATTGGTTTTGAGGTCCGGTCCATCCCACCAAGGTTTGGAGGCTGCAGATGTGTCTTCTCACTTGGGGGTTTGGGTGTTTCTGCGGCATGGAGGGACCAAGCATGAACCTCTTTTCAAGCAATTTCTCTTGATGTGAGGGATCGTTGATAATCATTTATTAATTTCTTTTGCCAGTCTTGTGCAGTTGGATATGTGCTACATGTTTCTTTCTTCAGAGAATAACATAACAAAACACACACACAAGAACACACACCAGAGAGAACCAGCTCCCCACGGGCAAGAAAACCAAAAAGGCTTCGTCGAAGCGTTGAGGACCATTGTGTGCCGGGGCATCCCAAGGGTGGCGAGTGGTCCTATACCGAGGACCCGGCGTCCGGGTTCGCTCTCGCTCGTCCTCCACAGTGGGGTGGCGTAGGAGCCGAGATCTCGGCTGCCAGATGTGGTCGATGTAGGATGGGGTTGGAGAACGTCAAGGGTTGTAGGATGTAGGATGATTTAGATGGGGTCAGCAGGGTCAACTGTTGCTGGGAACTCAGTGGTAGTGAACCAAAAAAACCGAGTGCAGTGAGAGCAATGGACATGGCCGGATCATAGGATTCATTTTCTATCATTTTCTATGATGATCATATATCATTTTCTATGATGATCATAACATATAAAGAATGTGTTCTTTTGTTTTGCATTGGGGGCCTACGTGCATCTGGAACGCGGGAGTGGAGAGCGGAAGAACGCCACGTTGCGAAGGATGTCATTGCTGATGAGCACGAAGACGCATGGAGCAGCTGGGCAAATTTAGAGTTTGAGAAGGTCAAAAAGATGTCAAAGCCCCCTAACCTGACGTGAACATCACCTCGGGTTAGTAGAGAAAACATGATGAACCCAAGCTAAATAGCTGGAAAAGATCCCAATCATAGGAGAGGCTGTCGTGTTAGCAGCTAGTTGCACGGACGCCAGGTGTTGATCTGGAGGCCATCGCAGACTTGGGCCACTGGCTAAGACTTGTTGCTGTTGAGTTTTGGGACAAGTAGGAATGACCTGAGGGGGGGTGAATGGCACTTGTGTATCGCATTTTGACACCTGCGTGAAAACGCCGAATTCTTTGCACCATCTTAGTTGCTACTGGCAAAATGTCTCAGGGGAGTTCAGAACGATGTCTCCGCACTGTGTTGAGTCTGGGAGCAACTTCACAGTCGCTTAAGGTGCAAACACGCTGCGCCTGTACAATGTGAACCCGCAGAACAACCACTCCAAGTTCATGCAGAAGGCGTGGAAGATCATTCTTTCGGGCATGCTACACAGAGTTCGCGGGAGTTCGCCGCGCTAGACGTCAGAACTTGGCTGAAAAACCAATTGTGCCACACGACGTCGATTCCAGGCCCTGTCTTTGGGCCTTTACGCATCTTGGCTCAATTAGACAGCGGCACAGTCTGCGCGGCGCTGCAAAGGCTCAAAAGCGGTCGAGCTTTGATGTTGATAGCCTTGGCGTTCAGTGGATGAGTTCGACAGACCCAAGGTGTATACATTGAAGAATGGTCACCATTCTTGGGTCTGTACACGCCTTGGGTCTGTCCGTTCTTACCTGTAACAGGACCTGTAAACAATTATCACGATATTTCGCTATTTTTGAACAAGGCCTTTACTAACCATGGGATTGACCATGATAGACCCAATACACACAATTATACACCCCAACTCTAACATGGAAGTGTTTGGCATTGAGACGACTTGTCCTTTGCAAGCAAGAGGTTTTCCATGTCCATCTTAGTCTGGGAGTGCGCAGGATATGTCGCAGAGGAAGCCAGGCGCTGCGGTACCCAGGTCATTGTGCCTTTGAACGGCAAGGATTGGGGCTATTTGCCTGCCTTTCCCTCACCTGACTGCTATACGCAGGACATTCTCCGCGACGTATTTGTTTGAGAGTCGATCTTACAGAAACAAAATAATAGTAGCTTTATGGTTCTTAGTAGTATAGGCCAGGAGCCCCGTTCGTAGCGTCCTTACGCTCCGTTCGTCGCCGATGCCAGGAGGCTCTCCGTTCGTAGCGTCCGATCGCTCGTTCGGATGGGGGGGGAGGCAGCGCGGTTCACATGGCGTTGCCAGGAGATTGAGGGCTACGGCAATGTAGGCGTGAACGCTTTGAGAGACTTGCTTGCACAGCAGTGGGTGAGTGGCCCTTGATTCCTTTGGGCGAAGCATGTTGAGTGGGCCCCCTTGCTGGTTATCATTGGTTGTCTGAGTCTATGATTGAATTCTTTGGTTCAATCTGCCCTTGATTATGTTGTGAGGGGATCCCAGATGTGGTGAGCCTAAACTTATGACGTCTTTCAGCAGCTTCTGGATGTGGCTTCACTTCCAGTCATGTCTTTGGACAGCCTTAGACTTCTTTCTTTTTCCAACTTGGCGAGCTGAGGTTTTGCCAAGCAAGTGATCCAGGAGTTCAGTCAGTACAACAACACCCTGCTTTTCACCGTCGCAAATGAAATGGCAGCTGTTCAGCAGTTGATTGTGATGTTGTTTTGGATGCATATATGTAGATTAAGTTTGTGGACTGGGGTGTACTTGTGACCGGACCCCGGCACACACAAAACCGAACGACCCGCTGTTCACCTAACCAGCTGTTCACGCATGAGGCGCAGAACGACAAGAACGGCTGGGCCGCATTTCCCTGCGTCAAAGCTTTGACCCGAGATGTGCACAGATACCAGGCTGTGGTGTGGACCCTGTGCAGCCGACATTCCGTTCTTTTTGGAATCACCCTGTGCTCGAACGGCATGCCGGGGGGCAAGTTGCCCGAAGCTCTTCACCCGGTTCGGAGTTCAGCGTGTGGTTTGGAAGAACAATTCCAAGGTGTGCTTTGGAGATGTGTTGAGATCAAGGTTCGACCACACATGATCACACCATGCCCATGGCAATGAACACTGTCTGGGACAGCTTCTTGTGTAAAAAAAAAGGTAGTATTTTTTGCACATGATTTTCAATGATCTTAGCAGCCTTAGCAATCCGGTGCCATGTTGCGGTGCTTTTCTTTTCTTCCGCGCCGCGGACCAAACCAGCGCACTCCAGGCCTCCTGCGGACAGACCATGCGACGGGTGCCCTTGCACCTCAGTGGAGTGAAGGCAACGGAGTAAACGCGGTGGAGCATGGATTTAATGGATTTTTATGTTGATGAATACTGTAAATCCCCTCATGTCACGTGGATTGTCAAAGGACTCTCTTCATATGATCTTCATGTCTGAGTAATGTGAGTTTTATGAAGTCGAAGTTACAAACAGGGAATGCTACCAGCTACCAGTTACCATGATTTGGGGGAGGGGAGTAGTTTGGACCCATTCCATACAGAGAGAGAAAGGCATGCAGTGGTTTGGACATGGAATGACTCGTCGCACTAAAAGCATTGTGCAATTTTAGTACAGGTACGAGTTAATCAGATTGTGATTTGGCTGAATGCCAGGAACCCTTTTTTTTTGCATGCTGCGGCATGCTGTTGTCATACTGAACAATGTGCCAAGGATCTACTCCGATGTGGACATGGGCGCAGGCCATGTCTGTGTGGCTTTTGGACCAGACTAATGTTTAGACTCAAGATCTAAATGATAGAAGGAGTTATTCTTTTTCGGAGTGGATACCAGGGGCTATGAGTTTTCCTTAGAGTCATCCGAAGCCAGGTGGGATTGAAGAATGTCCCTTTGGCATCAGCCTGAAGGCTTCATGTCCCTTCTGAAATGATCGGTTTCCTCGGTCCTTAAAGCCTCAATAGACAAGTCCATGCCCAGGCTTTGCCCTCTCCAAAGCATCAGCAAAATACATCACACTATCTCAGAACAAAGACGCCGGAGCAAAGACTATTCTGCCAGAAGTGTGCTTTGTATGTTAGTTCAGAGTGCATCAGCACTTTTGGAGCCTCACTCCACTGATGCAGATGGTCTTCCCCCATCCGAAGTGCAATCCACCTTTGTCGTCTTCAGACTAAGGTTGATTTTGCTCCAACTCCTCTCCAGCGCAGATCTTGACCAGCCCTTTCGTCGACGTGTCGCACAGGTGATCGAGGGGACGTGGCAGCGTATTTGACCTGCGCTGTGGACAGCGAGGAGAGGTCACCCCACGTGGGTCCCAGAATCATGTTCTTCGGATCTTACTCGGGCGTTTCTTTTTGGGGCTTGCGAACAGGAATCCAGAAGATTCCAGAAGTCCAGAAGCAATCACATGGGGTACCCGCTTGATTTAGCAAGATCACTTAGCATGCGATTCCATCCGTTTCTTTCAGTTGCAAGGCCACCAGTGTATCAAACCAGGGTTGCGTATCACGTAGTATGATGTAATATGATGTAATACCAGTAGAATGATCCCCACCCAGGTCAGCCAATGGCATTGCAGTCTGTTTGGGGCAGTGTGGGGCTCTTTGCAGTTGCCGAGAAAGACCTTGGGTTTTCCTCCTACCCAACGGCTGCTAGTCTGAGTCAGTTGCTGACACGACTGCTTTCCTAGAAAGGCTTGAAGGCTTGGCGGCTTGGCTGTTTTTGAAGACATCAACCAAGGTTTGGGCTGCGCAAAACTGCGCTGCTCACAGCAGCAGTCACCGTCGTGAGTTCGGGATCAGATCGAAGCTTCCAGGATGATGCCGTGGATGTTTACGGCCTCAACGTGTATTCCTGGTGCGACGAGGCGGGTCACCCTCCATCCCGGAAGCTGTTCAATTGGAAAAGATCACGTAAAACATCGTAAAACAATGTAAACCAAACCACTCATCCATTTTCATAGATTTTGGCAAGGTCCATGATTTTACGTCAGTCGGAAAAAAGCCACAATGCAACGCCCAAGTGTTCGGTTAAAGGCCATGGGCCTTGGGTCTTCCACCGTCTTTCACACTCGACTCACTCAACTTCCCCAGGCTCGACTTTCCGGAGCCACTCGTCGGGGTCGTACGGACCATGGGGTCATCGCTGCAGGCTTATCCTGGAGCCGGCAAGGCAGACAACTTCCAGTCCGGGACTCGGGCCGATGGGCGCCGATCTCAATGGCGCCTGAGGTCTCAGATCAAAACAGGGATGTCTCACATGACATGTTCAGTAGCCATGATAAGACTCATCCGACATTGATGTGTGTATCAAATATACATGGACATCTACTTTGTTGAACACTGGCACAAGGGACAGGGCTGTTGGCCCATTGGCTGTTTCTCTTCAGTCTTCATGGTATGTGGCAGGTCAGTAAAGAGTTGGAACCCAAAATTGATGCTGTGAGATCTGTCAGATACTATGCGCACCTCATGTTCTTTTGTAATGCATCGCAAGCTTCATTAAGGTATTGCTTTCTTTTCCTTTCCTTTCCTTTCCTTCTTTCTTTCTTTCTTTCTTTCCTTCTTTCAAGTTCTTTGTTTCCTTCTTTCAGTTTTGCAGCTACTGAGGTATTCACCATACTATGAAATCAAGAAGGACTTCAAAGATATGTCGGTGCGCTTGGGACCGGCCCATCTTGCACACGGGCATCGCTCAAAAATCGTGTGCTCATGTGTTTACTTCGAAGCGCTATATATCACTTTCAACGCACCCCAAAGGCTTGCCATCAAGCATCGATTTATCCAGTTTCATCTATTCAAAGTCGCCTCCCCGATGATCCCAACCATAGTATTTTGTGACGCAGATGACGTGAGAGGAGGTCAACGGCAGACACGTGCTGGATGCTTAAATCACCACAGAGGTGATTTGTAAATGTTCTTAAATGTTCCATGCCTCCACAAGTGAGTACCCAAAACTTCAGTTGTCTACCTTTGAACGCTTTTGCTATCTTGACTTTTCATGTCTTGCAGTAAGATGTCTTAAGTTCACAATAAAGAGTCAACATGTATCACTTGGACCGGAACGCTTCGTTTGGATGTCCGTTCACCCAGTGGTTTGGCTATACTCTCAAGAGTACTCTCAAGCACTTAGGGTCTAGGATGGGTGCACCTGGAGGCTGTTAGGCTCCGGTCTAATCAAAAAGTGCTAGTCTTGCTGCTGGAAATCGATTCTAGACTCCAATTTTGAGGGTCTACTTGATCTTCCGAGGGTCCCTACTAGTTGCCGGGATATTTGGCTGGGAGAAACGGCAGGCGAAGTCCGGTCTACAGAAAAGAGAAGGGTTTCTCATGCCCCCAAGGTTTTTGGGCACCTATTTGGCCATCGTTTGGACATAGTTTGCTCCTTGCTCTGCGATGCTCCGCGTCTTTTTTTTGGTAAGTTAAACGACAATAGACGCATGAGATCTTGCTTGAGTGGCATGCTTTCACAACAAACAAAGAAGTGGACACACCCCCCTGTCGTAGAGGAACCTTATATCTTTCCAGGGACCATTTTCCAGTCGGATTATTGGAAGGATATGTTTCACCATTCATCCGTTGGTTAAACCATCTTCCGTTGGCCTCCGGTGCCTGGAAATCGTTCGCCTGTGTTTTTTTCAGGTGCCCTCCTCTTCACGGAATTTGGTTGCAATTTGGGCCAATTCAAGACGAAGTGCCCGCGACTCGGCGGCGGTGAACTACCCGCGCGGTGAACTACCCGCGCGGTGTCCTCATCGTGGAGTAACGGATTTCCGTCGCGGAATTCGTAGACAAAAAAGAGGCCACTGAGACACTGACAAAAGCAACTCTTATTGCTTGCACAGCAAGCACTGCTAGTGTCCAGGATTGGCTTTGGATCGCATGCAGGCAGCACAAGGTAAGATGATCAGCTTCGAAGAGTTGGAGCGAACGTGCCATATGATATCGGCCACGGCGCAACTCCTGTGCATTTGGCAGCTCAAGAATGATCATTTGGTCATTTGGTGTCTTTTTCAGGCTGGGAGCCTTTGCTGGGACCAGGTATCGACTCTAACTGGGACCAGGGTAGGAGCAGTATATCACTCCTTTGTACATCCAGCTGGATGTGCACTTTGCTTTGTAACACCTGGGGACGGTCGCCCGGCTCTATGCGGCGTGCTGCCGAACAGAGCGAGACTCACGGCACATGAGCCGCGGAACGTGCTCTGCTGGGGCTGAGACGAAAGACATGCAATGCGCATGGGAAGCATGACAGAGAAAGGTGTTAGAGGACCTGTTGTTTGATGTTTTCTGGCCAAAAAGGAACAAGCAAAAGTAATTATGCAACAGTTTCAAGTCGAAGATAAGATAAGATGACAAGTAACACAGTCCACTTACTGCCTTCCATTGGCCACCTTACAAGATGTTGCTAAGCCCAACTCGTACCCAAGACTCATAGATCATGATGCTGTTGACGGACGACAAAACCCTGCACCACAAGGCCGATGCCTGTAGGCACTGTAGGCAGTCCCCTGCAAAGAAACAGATTGGCGTGATATCAAATTTGCAAGTTCCCTTGAAGCCATCGAAGTCCACTGGGGATCACAAGCCGGCCTTTTTCTTCGCCAACCTACAGTCAGTAGATCGTCCTTCGTCTACAGTCAGAGTCGGTGGGTTTTGTTTTTTCCAAGATTGTATCATGGTGTCCACGCACGCAGTCAGGGTCTCAATCGTCGATGGTGAACCTATTCCGCGACCCGTCTCGGTGACGGCGCCGTTGGATCTGAGCGCCCAGGTATCCGGGTGGACGGCAATGGCCAGAGGTGAAGCACCTCATGGGAAGCGACATGGGAGAGATGATGAGTGGTGCCTGGCCAAGTCCAGAACAGAAGACACAGAAGACGTGTATGTTCCTCTTTCATTGCACTGTGCACTGTTTCTACCTCTTCACGAGTCTTCCGCTTTCGCAGGCAGACTCGGCAGACCAGAGTCAGACTGGACACATAAGAGGGGTCACACTGCACACATCCTCAATTCAGGACCAACAAGGTGCCAGGATAAACATGGATACGACACTGTTGATCCACCAACTAAAAGAAGGAATACCAAAAGGAAGGTGTGACTGAGAGGCTCCCTCAGTTCTTTTTTCTTGTGCTGGTTTTCTGAAGACATCCAACAGATGTGTATGGGGCCAATGGCGGGAAGACGTCCCTCTCAACCACTGAGGGGCCATTGCTTTTCAATTCTCCATGGACAAGGAAGAGCCACTTGGATCATGGCATCGCTACTAGGAGCGATCGGACGCTACGAACGGGGCTCCTGGCCTTACTACTAGGAACAAGTGTTCGCTACTAGGAGCAAAGGGCATCGCTACGAACGGAGCGTTCGGAAGAGCCACTTGGATCACGGAAGAAGGGGGGGTCTCCTGGAGCCGTTTTGGCCGTTTCGGTGCGCAGACAACCAACAGGGCAGGGCAGGGGAGGTCGTGTGGAAAAGGGCTGAGGTATTTCGAGGTATTTCTGTTGGCAGCGTAGTGTATGTCAGAGTGGTTCATAGCTGTTTTTTTGTTTTTTCAGACCCTTTGGGGGCTGCTGTTCTCCAAGAACAGCACCATTTTTTCCGCTTTCTTAAGCAACGTCTGGTTGATCCAAGCAGGTTCAAAGCTTCCCATGTTGGATGGATATGAAGGACACAAACCACAGAGCTCCAAAAAGGCACTGATTCAATTGACACTCTGTCAGGTATGGCTTGACCTTGTCCCCCAACTTCCTGGCCAACCAGACGAAGTTGTACCTGCTCCTTGGAACCAAAGAGCTTGAATAAGCTCTGCACAGAAGGATAGGGCTTGTCCTGATTGAGCATTTCTAAGAAATTCGGCAGAGTGGGAAGTGGACCAAGGACGGGAGGATACGACATGGATCTACATGGTATACAGGTTTAGACAGCACTTTCGCTTAGATACGCCCATAAATGGGTTCCTGAGGCGTGCACATGTCCGCCATCAATCACAATTCAATGGATCATCTTCCGGATGTTGCCATCTTCGCACCATGCTATGATGGCTTGGACGAACTGAGGCTGGACAACTACTTTGCACTTCAGAAGGCGGACATTTTGGGTGGATCCAAATGCCACTGTTTCTATGGGTGGATCCATCTATGGATCTACATCATATGGATTTTATGTAGAACATTCATCTATGCACCAATGGTACGGTGGAAGGCAGGCAATCGTGACTTCCCCATCGAATCTCACAGTGTAGCGGCTTCAAATTGCTGTCAATACCACTGAGTTGGAAGCAAACAGAGCCTGACAGAGTTCTGCACACACACTAGTCAAATCTCGAGGTTCGAGTCTTCCAAGTGCTTTTTTGCATTTACCAGCCCCTTGGAGTCCCCAGACAGAGAGAGAGAGAGAGGTCGTCTTGTTTGAAGACGCCCGATCGCGCAGGTCTTCAAAAAGTACGATGTGAACCCTGATTGGGTTGCTCGGAGATTCTACTCGCTGTTAAGTTTTGTACGTTTGTTTGAACCGAACAGGTCAAAGACGCATGCAAGTCCAGACCAATGGACACGTGCGTAGTTCTGATTCTATGACTATCATGTTGTTTTCCGACGATGGGTCGGAGCCGAGCATTAGATTCTGTTTGTCCACTTTATATCAGGATACAAACCTTCGTTGTGGCTCGTTGAGTTGAGGGAATATTTATTATTAATGTTCAGAGTCAACAAGAAGAACGTCTTTTCTCTTCTGCACTGAAGGCAGCCTTCAATAATTAAGATATATTCAGAGTGATCCAACGTGCAACCAGAAAGCCGCTTCCCAACAGATATCATGAATGCAAGATCATGACTATCAACTTATATATATATAATTATATATATAATGTAGTCCCTGCATGGGAGCGAGAGCTAAAACCGTCAACATCCTGTCATTCCAGACTCCATCGTGTACCCATGAAGCTAGCCCCACACCCTTGCCATCCATGAACTAGGATAAAAGCATCTTTACGAACGTGCAAGAACCAGAGATTTCGTGCTTGGTGTTGGTCCAAACCAGGAGGCCGCGCACGTTCTTTTCAGTCCTTTCTTGGGGCGCTCCTACACTATCAGATGGCACTTCAGGGCCCCGGTGTATACCCAGTGCAGCCATGGGAACGTGGACCCAATTCGTGATTGGATGCCTTAACTGCAGGGTGGGATACTCATCACTGGACGGAGAGATCCAGCCGAATCCAGCCCAACGAACCCGGAACGTTCGCGCTACGAAGAACCTCTCATGAAGTTGCCATCAAGAACTCCAAGTTTAACGGACTTCAAGAACCTGTCAAAAGCCCTGTATTATGTTGTGAAGTAAATATAGTTTACACTAATTTACGATCGTAAGCGAACCCACCACCCCTCTTTCTTCGGTGTTCGAACTACCACGCGGCCGAAGCCGATCGCTCGAAGCGAAACGGCGTCCGGTGCTCTCAGAACGCTCCGGCGTCCGAAGTCCTGAAGTGCGGCTTCGTCCCCTCGGATGTGCACAAGATGGAGTTCAAGCACCCGAGGTGCAGTCCGCAGTGCAGTCCCGTGGAGACAGTCAGACTGAGAAGACGGTATTTGGCTTTTTTGGGAGTCGTTTTTGGAGCGGCCTTCTCCAAGCTGCCCACGTGTAGATGGAAGGCATTTAATTAATAAGTAGTGTCATGCGTCATGGAAGGCATTTAATTAATAAGTAGTGTCATGCGTCATGTTTAGAACTCCTGAGAGAGATGATGATACGCAGGACAGCTAAAGTTCCATGTGTCCAATCAATTGATACTGATGGAACACAGAGCGTTTCTGCTACTCAAACTAAAACTAATTCCATTAATCGCTGCTGAACTTTGCAAAACTTGTCACTTGTTTCCAGAAGACTCTTGGCATTTCAGCCACGTACAAACAAACTATAAAAACCAATACATTTTTGTATGTATGTATAAGTCAAAATTAAATATATGAACTCATATTGCATGTCTACTTACCCCAAGATCCATTGAGACCCAACTCTGAAGTCCATAGAACCGGTTTGTTTTCCGTCCTCAAAGCAAGCGTTTTGTAAACCGCTTGCTGAGCGCTAGTTGTTAACAATGTTCAATACAATTCATGACACTAAATGTGAAGCCCCACCTTGACAAAGTGCTGCCCCTGCACCGCACCGAAATCTGAAGCGTGGCCGAGCGACAAAAGCACGGTCTTGACTGGGTGCCCTGCTCAGAGATTTGGCAGGGGACCACCACTCTGGGCCCAAAACATGGAGTTCTTAGATTTGCGAAGAAGGTCAATGGGGCACAATATGCATGGCGGCAGGAGATTGTCAATTGGTAGCAGTTCGGCTTGAACACGTGTTGCGTTAGCCAGTTGTGTGAGTCATTCGCATAGTTTTGAAAGATGTACTGCAAAATGCTGTGAAGCTGCGAGTTCGTCTAAAAACCATGCAAAGATACATTCAAACAACAAACCAAAGCAGGAACATTGCCAGGCAAGGTGGCGAAGAGGTTTTACGAATCCATGTCTGGGGGGGTTTCTATTAATCAAGAGCCTACATCATAGAGATCGATCAACACCGCAAGCCAACTTCCAATCGTGGTTCGCGACTCACGCTTGTGAAGGCCCAAATGCCCTGCGGAGCCGCTTGGATGGGTGGATGATGGTGGGGCGGTGCTTGATACATCATGATACATCTGGCTTCTGGGGCTTGGAGGAACTCCGGTCGTTTGGGACCCCGCTTTAGCAGGGGCCTGTTTTTGTTCGGTTCTCCATCACGTCTCGGCGGAAGCAAAACGGTGGAGCCACGGCACATGTTTTATGTGTTTCAGGAGCTGTGTGGCAAAACGGATCCTATTCGATGTCCTTGATACCAAAGGTCCAATGGATGGAGGATTCGGGGGTTGCGGCAGTTGTCTTGGCAGTCGCCGGGCATCGGCTGAGGTCGGTGTGGCTCCACATTATGAAGAAGCATCGCCGCTTGAGCACACATAGAGGAAGGCACGGTGCTCAAGCAGGACGAAGCTTGTGCTTTCTGTCATCGGTAGGACCTGATGGTGTAGCATGGTTTTGGGCATTTCATGACCTGTGGGACCTGTAGGAGCATGGGACATCGGAAAGAAGGAGGAACCCTTCAAACCTTGGACGTGCCACTCAGGAACACCCATGATTTATAACAAACCAACAAAACATTATACATACATGCCCTATCATGTCCTATACAATTGTTGGAATACATTCATGGTCTATAAGATGATCACCAGGTGCTTTCACCGTTGAATAAAAGGATTCTGGTGCTTTGTTCTGACCCATACTCAACCTTGTTTTGGTGTGGACACTCCAAAGAAGATGGGGCTCAAAAAATGGACATTCCGAATCTCCCTTTCAAGCGGGAGGAACATAACATCCATTGAAGATCCTAACCCTTGGAGACTCTCAGATGCCGAAGAACAACCGCTTTTCAGGATCCGGGCTTTTTCGGCGATCGGTCATTGAGGTACAGACACCATCTCCAACTGGACTCTGATTCCACCCACGCCAAATGCGAGCCTCACTGGCCTTTGGAATGTTGGCAAGGACCATGCGTCGCGTTTTGTTGTGCGGACAGTTGGAACTGTTGGAAGGTTCAAGGGATACAAATAAATGATTTGCTGACAAACCGGCAACTAATTAGGGTTTTTGAAACATGCAGGAATAATATCCACTCAAAGCCATGACAGGATTCCATTTCCACAGTCGACACATGTATAATATACACTATATTGTTAAGATTTATTGAGTATACACTTTAAACAATCAGATTGGAATGATTGGACCACTCTGACTCTACCTAGTCAAACTCCACGGAAGGGATCGCTTGTGGCTGGCAGGCTGAATGTCCCTCTGGTGCAGTGAAAGCTTCAGTGTTGGAGAACAACTGCTGTCACTTTGAGCATCTTGGACTCTGAAATCAAACCACAAGCAAAAGTACGACAGGACACCCCCATCCCTAAAACTCGAACAAGAACACTTGTGCAACCATGTGCAACCCCATGTATGGAATATTTATATACTTATATACACTACTTACATTATCTTACATTGGGGTCATCAATAGGGCAAACTGTGCTGATGGTCATTTCTGTTTGACTGGAATCAGATTCTGCTTCAGAGGCCTTTGGTATTGGATGTATGTACAAAAGAACATGTTGGCAGTAGCCACTTCTCACCTCCAGAGTTCAACCATGAAATTCCGTTTCTATTTGGATCGCACCAAAGTGGGGTCGAAGAGCAATCGGAGTGTCGGGCTGTCCCTCGAGCCGCTACCGTGGGTGAACGCATCCGTGGCCGGCCGCATACATGGGGCTCGTGGGGCGCGTCTCCGCAAAGTAGATGGTTGATTAAGGTTAATAGGACCTTAGGGTGTCCATGGGTTTCATCATGAGCGTTTTCTGGCCAACTCCAGGTGCAAAAAAGTGAGCCGTGGAAGCTGTTCATGGTTTCTGTACAAAGTCCGCTAGACTAGCTGAAAGATCCTGGCGCGGAAAGACCTCGGCAACATGGCTTGGCCCAATTCAGCAGCCCAGATCGACGTGTTGTCCTGACGGGCTGGGAGAGATAGAGTCAGATAGGGTCACTTTCTGAATTGATCATCATTATCTCAGTTATCATGACCTATATAACTTAATTGCAACCCAATGCCACACCCACCATTCAATCAACCCTCTATCAACTTTTGTGCTGCTTGCAGTGATGAAGCGCATCACATCAGCTTCACTTTCACCGGCTGCCCCATCAAGTGGGGGGGAACTCACAGCCTAACGTGGAAGAGGACCTACTGCAAAAAGGGGCGCTACCGGAGGTTATTGCCATAGCTTGGCCGCGTGACATCGAGGAAGATGTGTTGGGCCACTGCTCACTTTTGGGGTCAACATGGCGCCGCTTTGGGAAGGACCTTTTCAATTTGGTCCAAGTTCATCCGGTCCGTTCCGGTCTGACGGGGGAATTCGTTTCAGCATAATATGAATACCGTATATCTGTTCGTTTACAAAGGCCAAGGTTGACACGGCTGACACGGCGGAGCTTGCTGACGCGGAGCTTGCCGCCGGCCGTGACCCATCTGTGTTCGCCATCGAGTCTCCGGCCGAGGGCTGCTTACGACCACCTGGTCACCAGCCATTTGAATGCTGGTGACTTCGAGGAAGCTTTGAAGTGGGCGCCTCAGGGACCTGAAAAAACAGGTGTCCTCCGGCCGTCCTGAAGGCCCACTTCGACTTGTTATGAAGTAATTGTATTAACAAAAACATGGTCCTCCGTCCTCCTTCTGGGGCTTTCGATGTTGTGGCGGATGTGACCATGTTGCGAAGCTCTCTAAGCCTGTTGCCCATGTGGAGCGCAACAAGCGCTCGGCAAGTTGCAGAGCAATTCATTGGAGTTTGGAGACAGCTACAACACATGGAGTCATATTGAATGTTGGGTCTGTCCTATTACCTGTAACCGTCGGTAAACAATCAATGGGATATGATAGACCCAATATTTCATCCTATTTCATCTATTTATCTACCGACCTTCAACGCCTCATGCCATAAGTGTCCCTGTCGTCTGTGTCCAATGCCATAAGTGTCGTCCTTGGTGAACCCTCCGAACAGCAAGTCGACACCACTTCGTCCTGCCAAGCAGGACGCTGTTATCATCGCCCACAGTTCTCTTGAAGACCTGCAAGCGCCTGCTGCGAAGCCCGAATCTCAGTGGACTCTGTGTCATCCGGCACAGTCTGAAAGGTCTGGGGCTTGGAAGATGTTGGAAGGGGGCCAGGGGCTCCTTTCGTGGGCCTTTTGTCATGGGAACCTCACATGGTCATGCAATGACGATCAATGAAGGAGTCTTGCATCTGCCTCTTTGAGCAATGCTGCACGTGGTCTGGGGTTTTAGAATATCTTGGGATCTCACCAGAGATGCTCTTGGTAGGCTTGCTGGAGCAGAAGAAAGACGTGAAAAGTGCCACAAGGCCAGAGGGTATGGCTCTTGTGATTCACAAGACCATTGAGTCCAATTAAGGCTGAAAGAGAATCGGATGCGCACAAAGCGGCTTCCTTTGTCATGGCTTTCCATTTGCTTCTCGTACTACTGAGCTTTATTTGGCAGGCTTACCTTACCCGGAGGCTTACCCTAAGACTGGACACATCACAAACACATTCTGATTCTGATTCATTGCAAAAGCTGACACTTGATACGGTTGAGGTCTCAATCCATGACCATCCACATCTCCTTCAACCATGCACTTTGCTGATGACTTGATGCTTTTTAGAACAACCTGTTGACCCATGGGACGGGTTAACATCGGGGACTCGACCAGGCAGAGGCGAGCCCGGTGTTGCCAGGCTCATGAGCTGTATGCCAGCGATGGGTTTACAGCCCAGCTATCCCATGTACAAAGGCATGGTGGCGGCCGCGGCCGAGGCACCATGGACCATTGATATTTTTCATTCTGCCTCAGACAGCGTGTGTTTCTTTGTTTTGACTTAAGGATAGGTGGCAAAGCCAGATGACGTGGAATCGTATACATGCATGTACGCAATGAAACTACAAATGTATGAGGGTGTAGGATAGACATGAGAACTTGTGGCTGCTTGGGAACACTTACATAGATCAGATGAACCTTTTCTTTGGTAGGATAACCTTTTTTCTGAATGAGGAATAGAGTTGACCAGAGAATTTGACCAAGACTGCATCCTGACCGAACTCGGCCAAGAAGGTAATCTAGACCTGGCAGACCGTTGGTTTCAGCAGCTGTCTGCCCGGCAAGATTCAGACGTTGCTCTTCTGATGAGTACTGGCTGCTAAAGACAACCAGGCCACAACAACTCGCACGGCCCAGCACCGTTTGGCGGGGATGCGCCTGCGGGCGCCTGCGGGCGCCCGGCTGCCTGTCCCGTTTTGCAGGCACTTCCACATACGCATACGCATTTCGCTGGATGACTTCGCCAACATTTCATCAAGGCCATGTGAGTGCCATGTGGTGTGGCCAGGAAAGAGAATGGAATGCAGCCAGAGAGTGGATTGTTTGCCCAAAACTCAGTACTGCACACCTGACCTTCGCCCCACACAGTACCCTGCGGTGCAAGCAGCGCGAGAAAAACTGATGCAGTGTTTGTGGCTGTGGCTGAGGTTTCCTTGATCAAAGGTTGCTGGAAGGCCAGACCACAGCGAAGTCCGCGAGTGATTATCAGTGCAGGTTTACCGGGACTTCTCTCGAGTGAAACCTGAGCCTGGAATGATTCTGGCCACAAAGATTGTCCAGTGAAACCTGAGCTACTCATGTCCATCGTTGTCAATTTCCAATCTGTTCGATTCCCAAGTTGACAACGATGTTTTCGGACGTTTCTTGGCACCATTTGGCACCGAAAGAACCCGCCAACATCTCAGACAGTCCAGAACTGAATATGACTACAGAACTATTCAGAACTATTCTATAATTCTCAATACTTATATTAACCAGACTAGTCTATCCATCCCAGAACCATCTGTCGCACTGTACGTAGGTCTTCCATCTCCTCCATGCTTCTTCGTTGCAAGGCTAGAGATCCCGAACGCGCAGTTCGGTACTTCAATTTGATGCGACGACTTCCGGCCGCTCGGCTCCCGTGCGTTCGGAAGCTTCGCCTCGGAAGACCGGACCAGTCCGCTTGGACCCGGAAGGCGGCGCAAGTCATGTGCAGCTGGAGTTGTCTTCCACCTGACCTGGACATGACGTTCACCTCGTCGTTCCAAGGTGCTCTCCATGTGTTTTTTCGGGTTCTCTTTGGTGTGTGAGCTTGACGCATGAGCAATGTCAAGCCCCCCCGAAGAAACATGCAAGGGCTTAGGCCATAATAAGAAACATGCAAGGGCTTAGGCAAAAGGAAAGGTAACACTGCCTGAAACTGGTGTGGTTGTTAGTTGGATTGGCTTTCATCGAACGAAGCTGAGAGAGGTGTACTGGTAATATGGAAGCCTTTTGGCAGAGATCTCGCTTTGATTTTGTGAAACACCCTCCAACTTGCCCAGTAGACAGGAGGTAGACTCAGACATACTAAGACCATATAAGGAACTTGGATGAACTTTGTAACATTTTGTAACTGTAACTCACAAACAAAAAGGCAACCATGGCTGCTGATCGGCTCCACCTTCCCTGGCCGAAATTCGTTCGCCCTGAGCGCCTCAGGGGGAGGAGGCGACGTTCCCACGAGGCACCTACAGCTGGTTGATCCGCAGCCTCGCGCAGGTGTGGGACCGGGTGGGTTTCGAGGAACGTGTGTGTGTGTGTGTGTGTCAAACCCTGTTTCCAAGGGTCTAATTTAATTTAAAGCAGGGGACAGAGCTCTCTGATGCTACTCTGTCCAACGAAGCTAGGCATCAGAGAGGGAAGCATCCACTGGCCATGGATGTGTACCTGCTTTAACGGTTGAACAAGCTGTCCAATTGACCTTGTTTGTTTTCATGGTTCTTCATGATACTCCCCCTCAACCTTCCCACCGCGTTCTTGCAACTGAGCCGCGCGTTTTCGTGAGCGTTTCGTTTTCGTGCTTTCTGCAGACTTCAAACCATTTTGTTCAAACATCTACAAGTTTTGCGGACTCTTCACCTTACCGTTCTTCACCTTCCTTCCCAACGTGGCAATTGAGTTAACTGAAAACCAATGTCAGAGTGTGAGCCGCTCAGTCTTCCCACTTGGGTGCTGGGTGTGACCCTCCGAAAGGAGGCGCCGAAACCATTCCGGAATTCACTGGTCCTTCATATTTATAACTGACCCTTTGCTTCTTCACTTTCATAACTGAATTAACGGATTTTTGAGCCGCCGGGCCAAAAAACGGACAATCTCAGCCACCGAATCCAGAGCCGCCGGGCTATAAAACGGTAATCCACCCGCAATGAGGCAGGTTTCCCAACCCCCCCCCCCAGCCGAGTTCTACTCCCTACCTATTTAGGGCAACATAGGGAAATGGTACTCGACACACTTGTGTGTCGGTGCCTTTCCCTGTGTTGTTCCTGTTCTAGTCTATCCTACCCGGGCGGTCTAAGACTAAAGTCCCGCTCCCTAACTATTGCATTTCATTCATTTCTGCTAAGTAATCAGTAACTCTAGAGTGCTAGGTATTCAGACACACACATGTACACACACATGAACATACAACCCCTCCCTGCCCCCCACTGTCCTTCTTGCGCTTTTCGTCGTTTGTTGGGCTTTCTCTCAGGCTTTTTAGGTTGCTCTTGAGGCTCGTTTCCCTACCCCAGTCAAGGGCTAAGTATTCACTTTTTCTACACCTACCTTTCCTTCTTGCCCTCTTAGCGCTGCTCTTTCTGTCTTTCCTTTCTCTTGTTTCTAAGGCTTTTTAGGTGACTATTGAGGTGTTTCACACGAGCGCCGCGAAGCGGC